AGTAAAGTCTATGATGGCAGCTCAGCAAGTCTACACCAGGTAGTCACAGCTATCTCAGCTGAGAAAAAAAAAGTAGAATGCTTGACCTGCCATTCACCTATCCTAATTGACAACAGCATTGAACTTGATGAGTAAATACGTAGAAAATTCACATACTTCCAGAGATGAGTAAAAGTCCATATTCCCCGTCAGACTACCTGGATTCTAATTCCAGCTCCATCCTTCTTATTAGCTGCATCAACTTGGACACAAGACCTAACCTCTACCTCAGTTTTTGATTCTTCATATCTTATATGATATCCTCAATAAATTATATTATATTTATTATTGAAATTCAGAATATCTGATCACCATAGACTCCACCAAAAGACTCTAAAAATCTAGTTTGATACTCATGGCTGGTGAAGAAATTTTCCTTTTGTAAGCCTTCCTTTCACAAGCAGAAAAGAAATCTGTGGCTGTTTAGCATGTGACGTAGTTCCAGCACAGGTGAGCATCCGTTTCCTGTCTTCACTTGGGGATGTATTAATTACTTCTCTCATTATTATGACCAAAGATCTAGCCTAAGGGACCAGGGGTCAACCTAAGGGAAGAAGGACTTACTTGGACTTACAGTTTAAGAAAGGATACAGTCAGTCATGGTGAGGAAAGCATGGCAGAAGGAGTATAAGGCCACTGGTCACATTGTGTCTGCAGTCAGGAAGCAGAGAGTAGACAGGACATGGGGATAGGTTACAAAAACTCAAGGCTTGCAGTCTCTCAGCAGTCATTGAAGGGGAAGGAACTGCCTCTCTCTGTGTGAATGCGTGTGCGCACGCAGGTGTGTGGGGCAGCCGAGTTAGTCCCAAATCATCAGACTCCATTTGCTATTCTTTTCTTTCTCCCCCACATCCGGGTGGTAGTAAGCATTTATCTTTGCATCTCTTTTCATTCATCTCCAGACCTTTAGAGGTTTTTCAGGGTTGGAGGTAGTGGGGAGGGCAGGCAAGGGGAAAGGAGGAGGACATGAAGATGACTAACCTGAAGTTGAAAAACAGAGCCCTGGAGGAGGTGACAGAGTTAGAACTTGATAATGATAACTGCTTATGTGTCAATGGGGAAATCAAAGACCTGAATGACACCTTTAAAGAACTGGAGTTTCTTAGTATGGCAAACATGGAATTAAGATCCTTGGCCCAGCTTCCCAGCTTAAACAAACTTCAAAAGTTGGAACTTAGTGACAATATAATATCTGGATGCTTGGAAGTCCTGGCAGAGAAATGTCCAAATCTTACCTACCTCGATCTGAGTGGAAACAAAATCAAAGACGTCAGTACAGTGGAGGCCCTGCAAAATCTTAAAAATTTGAAAAGTCTTGACTTGTTTAACTATGAGATCACAAATCTGGAGGATTACAGAGAAAGCATCTTCAAACTGCTGTAGACAACGAGGCACCGAACTCAGAAGAGGAGGATGAGGAGGATGAAGAAGAGGAAATTGGTCCACCTGAAGGATATGAAGAGGAGGAGGAGGAGGAAGCCGGTTCAGAAGTGGAAGAGGGAGAAGAGGAGGTAGGCCTTTCATACTTAATGAAAGAAGAAATTCAGGATGAAGAAGAAAATGACGATTATGTTGATGAAGGTGAGGAAGAGGAGGAGGAGGAGGAGGGTCTTTTGGGAGAGAAAAGGAAGTGAGATGCTGAAGATGATGGAGAAGAAGATGATGACTAGATCCCTCCAGGATGAGGTTGCCTGACACTCCTGCGCATGCAGTAGAACGACCATGTTTTTGTTTCTTCATGTATGATAGCTGACCCTATAGGAGATAATGATGATATGTAACTTTTTATAAGAAAAGTGTGGTTTTATGTCTTGGCCTTATCATTCCAATTAAGATTTGCTAATCTGTTAATCATAATGTAAGCAGAAAAGAATTTTCATTCATCTTCCCATTGTGAAATTCTCTGTATTTAGATCCTGGATTTTATAATTCATGCTTAATGTATTAGACGTTGTTTAGCCCATAATTAAAACATGGTTACTTTAAAAAAAACTCAAGGCTTTCCCTGCAGTAGTCCACTTCCAGGATGCACCTATTAAAGGTCCTGCAATCTTCCAAAACAGCACCATCAGCTAGGGGCCAAGTGGTCAACCACAAGAACCTACAGGGGCATTTCATATTCAAAGCACAATGGAACCTAAATGGAAGCTATAGAATTCCCTTTAAGATTCTTTTTTAAATTGAATAGGCACTCTCTACAATGGGCAGAGGCCAGGACACATCTCAAAGTTACAAGCAGTTTTCACAGGTCAATAAAGTTGACTTAAACTGGTATTATCTTGATCCAAAGAAGTGCTATTACCTAGAAATGTGACTGTATAGAAAGGAAGGAAGTGTAGGAAGCAGGTTCTTCACTTAGTAAGATTGTGATGAAAACATTATAACATGCTATTAATCTTCATTCACAATAACTTCCAGTCTCATTAAGAAACCATTTCTGACTTCTGAATGAGTGATGACCAGGCATAAGTAAATCGTGAGCATGGGCGAGCATTGAGGGCATGCTTAGGGGCAAGCTCAGCCAAGCACCTACATTCTATTGCTATTACTTCCAGAATCGTGCAGCTGCTTAGGCAGTTTCCAGCTGAAGACAAAAGGCAGATGACAGAAAATGAGTTCCACAAGTCTCTCAGGGTGGAAGGGTTAGTAAAAGTTCTAAGAATGGTGAGAACTAAATCACATCGCTCTTGCTCTTTTCCAAGCAAAAGGGGTGTTTGCATATTCCCACTGGGTAGAAAACACTCTGATTTTGGTAATGTAGTTTGCTCCTCTTTTTTGGTTGCTCAGAGGAGAAGCCTTCTCCCTCCAAAATGAAGCATCTTGGAAAAATAAAATTCTAACAGAGGCTTTGATCCTGGACAGTCTGAAACCTGCTTGGAGTTGGAAGGGGAGCGTGTGCAGGTGACAAGAGGCATGAAGCTCCTTCACAGTTTCAGAGCCATGAATGAGGATTAGACAGAGGGATGGAATGGTGATATGTGATAAAGACACTTAAATGGAATTTAACGGTTTGTTCTCTTTCAAATTACTGAACATTAAGTTTAAATGTTTTCATATAAATATTAAATTATATGTATATAGCTGAATCGCACATTTACGTTTACCACTCAGTTTCACAAGGAAAATGTGGCTTTATTTTCCTTCACTGATTTATTCTCCCTCCAAGCTTGTGCTCCACTGAGGAACACAGGAAAACAAACTTGCCAATTAATACTGTGTCAAGCTTTTCCTTTTAAACTGTCTTTTGGCCATTTGTTCTGTCTAAAGATAGAACTCTATTTGTAGCCTCTCTCCTCAGATGGGGTATGCTGATAGGACAGAGGGTCTGTGACCCACACAGAGCTTCTCTGTGTCTTTCTCTGTGCCTGTCCAGACCTGTTCCTGTCTTCTGAACACCACTGGTCCTCTCTGGTCTTTTGGAAACTGCAATTATTTCCTTCTAGATTATTCCCTTCAAGAAGGAGGTCTGTCTCTCATTACGGATCTGGCCAAGCCAGTCTTGCAGGCCCCCCTGGGCTATGGAAGAGGGAAGGGTCTCTAATACCATGGCTTTCCCATTTCCACCTTACCCTCCAAGAAAGCATTTTCCTGTCACAGCTGTATTCTTTATCTTACCACAACTGGTTTCTACCATCTGACATTGTTAAATGACTGTGACCTTCAGCAACACAGTCACCACTACACATCCAAAGCTGATAAACAAGGAAGAACTTTGAGTGACCCCGGTTTGTCAGACCCTTCCTGAACCTAACTCTCCTGATCCATGAGCAGTGGATTTGTTTTAATCCAGAACATACAGACTGATGGATGCACTCTGACTGAGCCACAATGAAAACTTTCTGTCAGGAATTAGCGTAAGTGTCCTGAACCTCCCCCTTCTCTGGTGCATAAAACATCCAGTCAGTCCTCACAGGAAGAAGCATTCAAAGCTGTGTGTTCTTCAGCTGGGGACTTGAGGAAGCTCAGCTCTTGCTTGTTTTGTTGAGCACAGTTGACACTGGTTTCTTGGGAATGCCTGAGCATAGAGTAAGGACTTGAGCATGGATGTCTTGGCCTTCTCTTTGGTCTTCAGAGTCCTCCACTGAAGTGCTCTCTTTCCTTGGGTAGGACATTCCCAGTGTTGTTGCTCCCAGGGGAACTCTGCCTTTGGCTGAACAAGGTGGCAGAGTGGATACTGGGGAAACTGTCTTAATTAGACACATCTTGAGAACCTTTTTAAATTATTATTCCCACCAGACGTATGTATCAAAAAATGACACAAGAAATCTGCCAGAAAAAAGTCAAAGTCCCGTATTTTGCTTATTAGCTATACACTAATAATTTGAAGCACAAAGTTCTCAGCATGAACTGTCCACATTTCTAGAACCTTCATTCATTTAATTCTAGCACTTTCCCTATAAGGAAAGTATTATTATCATCACCATCATTGTATAAATGAGAAAAATGAAGCACAGGACAAAGAAGCAACCTCATTTACAGTTACAAAGTAAACTGTGCATGATCAGGGTTCAAGTCTAGACAGTTTGGTGCCTGGGATACTCACATACAACTTCTAGGGTGCTGCAGCCAGAGGTCAACATACCAACCCTAGGAAGCAGCAGTCTTAGGAAGAAAGGAAGACTGCACATAGTGAGGGTTTTCCAGGTACGAAATGCTTATATGTATATAGTTTCTAATTTCATCTAAGATGAAAAGAATAGGAAACAGAAAATGCCACATTCATCTAGCGAAGTGACTAGTTGGTTAGGGGAGCTTTTGTCTGTGTTTCTTAAATTGGAAAAAAATGATAGCATTAGAGTAGACCTAGAAGTTAAGAGGACCAGTCTTTGATTCTCCATTAACAAAGGGCTCTTTCTAGCTATTCACACCTGATCACACAATGGAACCATTATTAGAAAGACTTCAGGGAAGAGATCATCAATGTACTTTGTTCCTCTGCAGAAACCAGCCAGAGACAAGCATTTGCTATAAAATTATCTAGATTTAATCACTATCAACATCAGAACCATCGTACATTAAAGTACAAAACTTTTATGTACAATTACACATACAAAAAATGTTCTTTGTGAAGAGCAATTTTAAGCAAATCTGACAAACAGCAAGAATCATTTCTATTTGAGGTTTGAAAGGAAAAAATGGAAATTTCCAAGACATCTCCCTCCTCCCATCGGGCCCCAATGACCCACAGAACATCAATTTGCAAAGGCCTGAGGTAGGGAGGCAGGTATTAACAATATGAGACACTCATTCCTCCCCTCTTATGGAAAGGATGACGTTTTTAGGAAACGTTTTCCATTATTTATTATACTGATGTTCCATCCATCTGCATCATTAGGTTCAGTAGTTACCATGACAATATGATGCCTACAGCAATCTAACTTGATAGCCAGATGTCAGAATGTGAAAAAATAGGACCAGCTAAGAAAGTGAGAGAAATATAATTAGTCTGAACCACACAGAAAATGTGCTCAGAACCAGGACCAGGAGGAAAATTGCTGAAATGTCTTTGAAAAAGGAATCACTGAAGGGCAGCAATAATCAAATTCAATGTAAAAACTTTGCTAACAAGAGCCATAAACTGGTCTTTGAGCAAGTCTAAGGAAAGAGTCCAAGTTATTCTGGGATGTTTCTTCAAGTCCCTGCGGCATAGCCCAGCAGTGTCATTTTTGTTCTCACCATGGGATTCTCAGGGCCCTCATTTCCCTGAGGTTCTCAAGCTTCCACCTCAAGTGCTGCTGCCATGACATCTACTGAGGACATTGTCCCCTGTTCCTCTGTCTGATGAAATAATTACCATCACTCTAAAGCTAAGCTGAAAACTAGACCAAGATGTATCTAAGGAGATCCTGCCCTTTACCTCCAGGTACCCCTTGTACAATGGTTCACAGCAAGTGCCCGAATTTGATGAGGTGAGTGGACCACTAAGTGGAAAACGGCAGAAGAGCTGTGCTCCAGGAGATGAGCCAGGGGTAGGCAGGTGGCCCTCCTCATGAACCTGGGACAGATGGTCACCCTCAGCATGGTTGGGTTGGATAGCGGCGCTGGGCTAGGCGGTTTGGCCGGCTCAGGCTAGTAGTTGTGGAAAGCTGAAAAAGAAGAGACATGACACTAGAGATCAGTTCCAAGCATGGCTCCACTAGGAGACTAGTATGTTGAGTAAGGGCACCCACTTCAGCTGTAGGTGGCTTCCCAACACTGTGTTCTAATGGCCAGCCTTCACCTCTGAAGGATGGCGAAAGGAAGTTTGACTTCATAAAGAGCAAAGGCCAAAGAATGTATCTGCAGAGTCATCCTAGGTCACTGAGGAGCAGAGAGTATGGCTCTGGGAATCCCTTTACCCCAAGACAGGATAAGGCACCCACATCAAAACATCAGCACTGTTTCTGTCATATCTCAGGACCAATTACAGGTCAAGAGTGATGTTCAGAAGTGTGACATTCCTTGAGCACTTTGTAGGTACCATATTACATACTTATTCTATTTAATATAGCTACTGCTAGCTCCATTTTACTGATGTAGAAACAGTGGCTTAAGAAAGGTTCGATAATTGCCCAGGAACTCACATTCAGTGGGTGGGAAAGTGGAACTGTCTACCGCCTTCCTTAGTGTGTAACCTGGTCTCCTAACTCCTCCCCATAAGGATGGTCCTTACCTGAGGTACCTGAGATGGATTGTAGAGAGGAACAGCACCTTGCAAGGTAGGTGGAGGAGGCAGAGCACCTGGCTGGGAGTAGAACTCAGAAGAAACACCCTGTGGTTGCAAACAACAGAGAATCTGATCCATGGTTGCTTCCAGGGGAATCAGTGTTGACCAACAGAAGGATTGTAAAACTCAAGTGACCACAACCAATGTTAGGACCCGGGATGGCCATGTAAAGACAGATGCTCTTAGACCCAAAGGAAGTAGGAAGAAAAAGTCACAATAAAGTATATGGGATCATTAAAATCACTATCAAACTCTTCACAAGGCCTCAGATATGACAAGAGTACTCCAACCAGGCTTCAAGAAATAGAAATGTTTTCCTAGCAATAGTCATGAAATCCCTAGCTATATAGACAATTTGTGAAGAATTTATGATAGTCCCAACCAAGTGCACATGAGTGAACTCCACCTTCCACTAAGACAGGAAAAGAGGCCAGTCCCTGAACTCTGTCTAAGCTATACAGGCTAAAGTGTGACACTCCAAAACTGCCCATGATAAAGCCCCAGTTTCTCAGCATAAGACAGAATCCTTCAAGAAGCACATAGGTACCACACCCAACATGTGTGGTGTCCTCACAAAAGGAGGAGAGTTAACACAGACACATACAAAAGAAATACCCAATGAAGCCATAGGAGGAAATCAGCCAACTGCAAAACAAAGAGAAAACCCTCTGAAGAAACCAGATCAGTCAGCAGCACCTTGGCCATGCACTTCTGTCCCCCAGATTTGTGAGAAACTACCCTGCCACTATCTAGACCCTCCAGACTGAGGTAAATGTAGGCAGCTGAAGCAAAGTCATACAGAAGTTGGCTCCATATGCTGTGAAGTCATCCTTTACAGAGATGCTCCTCCAGGCTGCTGAAGACACTCAGTCCTCACACACAGTCATCCTTTACAGAGATGCTCCTCCAGGCTGCTGAAGACACTCAGTCCTCACACACAGTCATCCTTTACAGAGATGCTCCTCCAGGCTGCTGAAGACACTCAGTCCTCACACACAGGTGTCTTCTGGACTCCCAGGCTCCAACCCACAGCCTGCTCACCTGTGGCCCTAAGACGCTTCCAATCCTAGTGACTTCAGCTGTTCCACTGTTGTTTGAGGATCCAGGTAGATTGCTCCCACCTAGAAGACAAGGAATCAGAGCTGTTTCACACGCCCAGAACTAAGGAGTCCCCACACCCAAGAGAGTACCCCCCAGTCTCAGAGCACCAACAGCACTAGAGATGACCCAACAGAGGAGACTGACAGTACCTATGCCTCTTGAGAAGGTGCTGGCATCCAATGGAGATGGGGACTCGACTGAAGGCGTTGGTGAGAGGCCCAGGCCTGTGTGGCGAGGAGGTGATGGGCTGGAAGATTCCTGCTTGGTAGGAAAGATGACATCACTGCTCAGTAATTCACACCAACCTACATGTGTTCTGGTATCCACAGTGGTAATCTCCACGTAAGCAACTCCCCACAAATACGGTTTCCTTCTGTGAAGCTTCTGCTAAGAAGGCAGGCCAGCTTCCTGTTGCCGAACCTCTGAAGTAAAACTCTCCATCTTAGTTTTCTAATGTTTCTTCCTACTTTCTTTGTCTCTCTCTCCTCTCTCTTCTTCCTCCTCTCCTCTCTCTCCTCTCTCTCTCTCTCTCTCTCTCTCTCTCTCTCTCTCTCTCTCTCTCTCTCTCTCTCTCTCTATCTCTCTCTGTCTCTCTCTCTGTCTCTCTGTCTCTCTGTCTCTCTCTGTCTCTCTGTCTCTCTGTCTCTCTGTCTCTCTGTCTCTCTGTCTCTCTGTCTCTCTGTCTCTCTGTCTCTCTGTCTCTCTCTCTCTCTGGTGTGTGTGTTACTTTTTTTTTAATGAGGTCAAACTATGTAGCCCAAGCTGACCTAGAATTCACAACAATCCTACTGCCTCAGCATTCCAAATGCTGTGCTTATAGGCATGAGCCACCATGTCTGGGTTCCAAGGCCTGTCTCTCACTCTACTTTTGCCTTTAAAAACAGTTATTTCCTGTAGTCTCCTTTCTTTCAGCCCAAGGTAGAGTGTGATGCTGGGGCTTTGATGTGTTTGGAGTTCCTCTGGGGTTCACAGGGAGGGGCTACCAGTCCATCTGTGGGGGTTACCTCTGAGTCAGAGATATCTGAGGAGTCTTCATCTCCAGAGGGGGACACACTGTTGGCAGGCTTTGATCGAAACCAGCTGAACCAGCCAAATCCAGAGCTCTGAAGAGCAAGGGGGATTGTTAAGGCCAATAAACTTGTTTTTCTCACCAGCTGTGAGAGGGGCCAGCCAGGCATGAGATGGGAGCAGGGAGGGGCTCTGGACTCTGACCCACTGTTTGAAACAGGGATGAAAGGGAGGCACAGAAAAGAACAAGTCCCCCACCTTTGTGTTCTCTTTCCCATCCCCTGGCTTTCCTCTCTGCGAAGCATCTTGGTGAGATGGTTCGTCCGCCTCATCTGAAGATGCCTCTTCATCCTTCTTGGATGAAATGGTGGAATCCTCAGAAAACCTTCCAGTCCTGGGAGCCTGTGGTGCCTGAGATAAAACAAAACAATGGAGATTCACATGGTGCTTAACAGGTTGCCAAGCACATGTCCATGTGACCTCTCACTCCAAACCCAGGGCTAGCCTCAGGAGGTCCCTTCCTGCTGGGGAGAGAGGTAGGCTTACCCAGGAAAATACCTGGTCATGGGTGGGAGGACAAGCCAGGACCCCCCAGTCTCCATCTCCTCCCTAACATTGGGAGTCATACTCTCCAGAACTGGAAGCTACTGCTGGAGATGAAAAGGTTCCAGGAGCACCTCTGAGAGACCCTCAAACCCAAAGAATTTAGCAGCCAGTACGTCCAACCTCAGAGCTTATTTCCTAACAGGTTCTCCCAAAAATAACTGAACCCCAGAAGAGAGCCAAATACACCCACACCCTGCCCTTCCTACTAACTTTGCCTTATCGTGGTAAAATACGCATAGCCAACCATTTATAGCACAGTGGCATTAAGTACATGCACAGTGTTGTCCAGACATCAGCAGTACCCATCCCCAGCATTTCTCATCTTCCCGTCAGAAGCACTACCTTCCTACTCCCCATCTCTGTACTCTGGTCACCTTTGCCCCATTCTATTCTGTCTCGTTGAATTTGCCTACACTAGGTATCTCATATGAGTGTAATAATGTAACATATTGCTCTTTGGGTTCTATTTTCATTTTGTACTCTCAATAGAGCATAATTAATAAAAAAAACTTTGCAAAATACTACAGCAAAACACAGGAAAGCCTTCGTTTTCTATTTGTATGGGCGTAATGTCTTCAATGAACAGACGCTATTCTAAGTGCTTTCTGTGCCGTGATCCACTGAATCCCTACAACAGTACAATGAGAAATGTGCTGTTATTATCTCCTAGATTCAAATAGGAGAAAACCAACATGTTGCAAAGCCCAAAGACACACAGCTAGTAACATGCAGAGAAGGGACTCTAACCTGGCTTTCCTCCTACGAATCTCTTCTGATTCAGTAAGTCAAGACATAAGCAAGAGCCTGTATTCTAGGGTAGCCAAGATCTGTGTGGTATAAGAGTGAAATAAAGGAGGTGGGGGATGGGAAAAGTGCAGGAGAAAAGAAGGGGGATTGGAAAGGAGAAGGCAGAGAAGGAAGGGCCTGTTGTTAAGTCCCTTCTCTTGTACACGGACTGTCTCACAGGAATCTTTCTTCATTAATCCAAGTGTGTCCATGCACAACTCCCTCTACAGTGACACTTGTGCCCTGGTCACCTGGCTTATTTCCATGTTGCACTCTGATCTCTGCTCAAAGACTTCCTTAGAGACATAGTCCAGATTCATCTTCTCTGCCCATTGCATAGTGTTGTTCATCTCTACATACCCCCATAAGAGGGCAGAGCATCAGGCTGGCTGCATCTGGTCACTGATGCACACCCAGCCCCATCACAGTGCCTGGCATACTGTAAGAGTATGATACTTGGCAAGGAATGATTTTCACACAGTGGATCTTGTCATACCATTTCTGAGACTATATTTATGAATAATAGAAAAAATTATGAGGTGTTACATAACAATTAGGAAAAATATACCTGTTTTAACTATAGAAAAGCATGTGTGCATATATATTTATTAATACACATATATGTACACATATACAGAAGAAAACTAATGAAAGAACAAAGCATTTACTATGGAATTCTGAGCAGTATTTATTTGGTTCATCATTTTAATTTTTCTACAACAATAGTGTCCTATTTTTTCTATAAAAGAAAAGTAAAGTATAATTTTTTTAAAGATCCATAGCCCTGCCAGGCGATGGTAGCACACACCTTTAATCCCAGCACTTGGGAAGCAGAGGCAGGCAGATCTCTGTGAGTTCGAGACCAGCCTGGTCTATAAGAGCTAGTTCCAGGACAGCCTCCAAAGCCACAGAGAAACCCTACCTCCGAAAAAAAAATCCATAGCCCTGGGGCTGAGAGATTGCTCAGTGGTTAAGAGCTAGTCTGCCAAAAGATTTGCATTTGATTCCCAGCACCCACATGGTGGCTCACAATCATCCATAACTCCAGTTCCAGGAGATATGGTTCTTTCTTCTAGCCTCCGAGGGCACCAGGCACACACATGGTGCATAGACATACATGCAGGCAAAACACACATACACACAAAAATAAATAAATCTAAACTTTAAAAAAATGATCGGTAGACCTTTACTACTTAAGACAATCACATGATGTAATATTTGACCAATGTAAAGCTGTAGAACATCTTGTTTGGCATCAAAGTTGAGTGCTGTGCAGCCTGTCAGCAACTAGATAGGAAAAGACACAAGCAGCGCTCTCACCAGTACCCTAGAGACCTGACATAAACCAAGGTGAGTGTTAAAATAAGCACCCTCAACACGGAAGAAGATGCAGAAAAATGGATATCTATCCATAAGCCATCTCTGCTGCTCTGTCCCCCAAATGACACAGGTTGGCGAACAGGTGGAACTTAACATGAACAAGAACACAGCCTCCTTTCCAACTCCCAGGTTTCTGGTAGAAAGAAGCAAGGAATGACTTGCCCGGGTAGAAGAAAGAGTTCCCACTGCCAGAGGAGACTGTGTGTGTCGAGAAACCAGGGGCCAACAGCAAGAGGCAGCTGCATGGGAGCAGTCACCAGCAGTTCTCCGACTTGTCTGCTCACCTGAGGACTGGAAACTTCTAGACCATCAGGATCTTGTAGGGGTTCTTGAGGCGCTGTGTTCTCTCCTGAAGCACCAAAGAAAAATGAAGACAGGAGCCTCAATTTGTGCTCTTCCACCCATCTTGAAGAAAGGAAACGGGGACCCAGTGGCCTATGCGGCAAGAGTTTATACCACAAGCAGGTCACCGCAAATGCAAAATCTACTTGCTCAGTTCCACTCAATTCATGCCACCTCATGACACACTGGTCAACCCAACTCCAACTGGTTGTTCCTTAAGTGAGTAAGGAATTACAGCAGCATGGAACTAGGTTTCAGGCACTGTCCCCTACCTCCTTTCTATGTGGGTCTCCATCTTGGTCAAGACTTGATGTTAAAGGACTGAGATCTAATCCTTTGTCATCCCCAGAACCTGCCTCGAATCACTTAACACTCTTCCCCCACATGGAGCCTTCTTCTCCCAAGATCTGGTAGGCCTAAAGAATTGTGGAACCAGACTAGAAATATGGCCCCAGCCACGGGTCCTGTTAATAGGCTCTTGGATAGAGGATGACATCGGAAAACAGCCCCTTGACCACTATGCATGTGACACACGTGGCATTTTCGTCACGCTGCTTTGCAGCCTCCACATTTCAAACTACATATTCTAAGTAAAAAATAGAACAGTGACGCCCGTCCTGCTCTGCTTGTCCCAGTCGAGAGGTGTATGAAGAGAACACACTCCTTTGAGTAGGCCAAAGTGCATTTCCCGTGTTCCAAGCCCACTTCCTCCAGCAGGGTCCTGAGCCTCCCTCACTTGCTTCCCTACCACCAAGGCTCCACCCTCCACTGGCAGGTCTTACCAAGGGAAGGCTGTATCCACAGCGTTTCCTCCCCTGCCCTTCCTCCAGGAGACCCCCTAGCTGCCATGCCGCTGCTGCTGCCACCGCCACTGCTCACTGACACGTGGGTTGCAGGAACCGAGTAAAGAGGCACTGAGGTCCCCGTGTGACCCGAACCTTCTCTCTCTGAGCAAGCATCTCGATGCAGGGGAAAAGGCTGATGTGGGATGGGCTGGGTCAGGCCTGTCTGCTCAGGTGTTGGCCACGGGGCTGAGTTGAACCCAGGGTCTCCTGAGTAGCTTTGATATCCTGAAAGATCCCGGTAGGGAGTGTCTAAGGAAGAAGACAATGACAGTTACAGACAAATCACTTTTTTTTCATATTTTTGTATTTAACTTTTTACACATGTCACTCTTGGTTCCTTCTCCCTCCCCTCCTCCCCCAGCCCCCAATCCTCCCAACCTCTCCCCGCTCCGATCCCCAGGGAGGGCAAGGGCTTCCATGAGGGATTTTTCAGACAGACAAATCACTCTTAAACATTCCTGTTCTTATCCTCTCCAGAAAACAATCCCAGACTGGCTGCTCCATATGGCTTCCTAAAGACAGCAAGCGTTTAAACCACTGAGGAACAGTAACACCTCTCCCTGCTATCTTCAGGGTTAGACCACTGAGGAACAGTAACACCTCTCCCTGCTATCTTCAGGGTTAGACCACTGAGGAACAGTAACCCTCTCCCTGCTATCTTCAGGGTTATACCACTGAGGAACAGTAACACCTCTCCCTGCTATCTTCAGGGTTATGCCCACAGCTCTTGGATGATCTCTATCTAACCTTTCTCCTGTGGGCTGAGAGACCAGGAATGACATCCATTGAACTCTACATCTGTTAATATTTGGATGTTTATGCTCTCAGCTTTAAGGGGCCTCATTAGACTTTAAAAGTTTACAGCTAAAAAAAAGACACTCTAGAAATGATGGTTTTACTTATGAAGAATCAGGGTTTGTTTGCCCTGGAAGGGGCCTTGCTGATGTGATTGACTAAGATGTGGGTGTAGAAACGCCTAGCCCAAGGGCACAGGGATGTTGTGAGCTGCCAGCCTTCATGTTCCAAGGCTTCGAGAACATCGGCCTGTAGAAACATCCAGCCAGGCTCTCACAACGTCAAGAAACAGAAGCCAAAGCCTCCCTACATTCTGCCCATCCAGGAAGGAAGCACACAAGGCTAGGAGGCAAAAGACAAGGGCCCTTGTCTGAACTTGACCACCAGAGGGATGACTTCGGGAAACATATGGAGTTAATTTGGAATATAATTCCTGCTGACCGACACTTGCAGGCATTCTGAGGGAGGAATAAAGAGGCTGAGAAAACACTTTGAAACATATATGGCCAATTGATAGTTCAAAATCATCACACTTTCAATGCCTAAAACACTAATATAAAATACTAATAATGTTCCCTCTCTGACCTCAAGAAGTATATCTAGCTGGGATTAAGGTATTCGCATGTGTGAAACAATTAGCTAACAATAAAAAGCATGAAATAGTCAATTATTTGGAAACCTAGCCTGCAAAGCACGAACCCTCACGCTACAGGAATTCAAATGTGTCCAGGTCCATGAAACCAGCAAGGGTCAATCAAAAAAAAAAGGGGGGGGCCATTTAGATCAATGGGTCTAATTCCCAGAGAAAGATGACACCAAGGAAGGGGAGTGTGGGTGTGGCTGAAAATATTTTAGTAGTAGTATGGTAGTCAGATCTTTGCATTGAGTACCTGGTGTTCCTCTGGTTCCATAAATATCGGAATGAATAGAATCGGGATCGCTGTAGTCTCCTGTTTTATTTTGCTGTTTAAAACAAAGTAAAATCCTTTTAAACAGTATAAAGGAAAATGAGGCAGAAGTAGTAGGGAAAGGAAGTTAATAGGAAAGAACTCCATTGAGATTCCTGGTGCCCAGAGTCCTGCAGATGTGCCTCTGTTTCTCAGGTCTCCTGGCTCTGCTCAGAGCAGGCTGTGATGACTACAGTCTGTGTCACCATCCTCCCCAGACCAAGGGGCCAAAGGAAGGAACTAAACCGTGGGCCTCAGAGTGTGCTACCCAGGGAAGGTGAAAGGGCAGAGTACATTTAAAAATCCACTTTGTCCTGTCTTCAGAGCAGGGGAGAAGAAAGAAATAGGAGAGGCCCTGCTCCAATTACTCTTCTGATTATGGCCAGCAGGTTTTGCAATTGACAGAACAAAAAGGAAAGGCCCAGAAGTCTTTTAAGCAATTGCCCTACATTACATGAAAGTGACACAGGTCCACTGTGATCCATTGTTCCTAACAGAGATGGGGAAGCTTTGATGGCTGTGAAACATTCTCTGGGACCTCAGAGAAAGGGTGGCAAGAGTGGTTGGGAAGAGCGCCCCCCTGTGGCACTAGGCAAACACAGGAAAATGTTTGCACACAGCAAAAAAGCAGTGAACAGAATGCTCTGACTTCCAGCATCCGGGACACTGACCATGCCTTAGAAGCGATGGGAGATGCCCAGGGCGGGGAAGTGGGCACTTCTACGTCCAGTCTAAGTCTGAGAAACACCCAGTGACCGTGCTACCATCCCACTCACCTCCAATTCCTTGTGCCGCCTCCGCAGTTGCACTAGCCAATCTGGTTCCAGGTCCCTGTCGCCAGGGCGTCTTTCTAAAACCAGGGGATCTGACAGCTTCAGTTTCTCTGCAAGCTGAGCCGAGTTTCCAGGAGGGTCAGGGGTAGAAAATGAGAGAGGACAAGAAGAGAGGGAGATGGGGCACATGGAAAGACAATAAGAAGGAGGGAAAAGGAGTAGTCATTCACAAGTACATCACATTATAAAGAATTAACTGAAAATTACAAATTCAGTTGATCCCCTCCCAAAATTGCAGCATAAATAAATAAGCAACTCATTTTGGCACTAATTCCCCCAAATATAAGGGGAAAATAGTTCCATAGCTTTGTGGCTCTGCAAAGCTGCCTTCTCTGCAAGAAGCTTCTAGAATGGGAATGTGGAGAAACACCGGAATTTTGTTCATATTAATTCTGATTCTAGTCAGGGGTGGGGGGGAGGACTCAGATCTACATTGCTAACAACCTGTGTCTCTTTCTAATTCAAGATGTCATTATGTTCTGTGTCTGGAACTTCTAATCACCGATCCTGGGCCATCAACACTCTAACAGAAATGTTAGAGTATGGGGGTGGGGCGGGGGTTGGCTGGGGCTCTGCAGCACAGATTTTCCAGGTTGCAGAGTCCAGCAGCTGGGCCTCCTGTGAAGCAGCGTACAAACTGAAGCACACACTGCCTTTTACTCTCTGGCTAATGGAGTCTTTTTCTTCAGTTAATTGGAACAACTATTTGCCTGATTGTTGTTTTCTTCCCAAGGAACTAAGGGTTGGTATGTTTTTGTTTTCTTTTTTAAATGTGTCCCACACGTGATAAAATATTCTATGCATTTAAAAGTATTTTAATAAGGATCATTTCCCGTTTTAATCACTAAAATCTATTTTCAAAGGCCCGCTTTTGTAATTAGAACGGCTCACCACAGCTTGCAGTTTAACTGTACCAGGAAAACAGAAGCATGAAACTTCTCAAGCAAAACAACGCCTGCCTTCCAGGCCCCCAACCCCACTGCCCCCGGCCCAGCCAGTTGTTCTTTGTGCAAGCAGGCCTCTGCTTATCACACTGGGGCATGCATACATGGTCAAAGACAGCTGTGGGCTCCAATTTTGCAGAGCGTTCAAAGAAGATGAAATGTGGAGTCTAAGCCTCTCTACAATGGCTTCTCTGAACACTGAAGATAAAACACCTACAGAGACCCCTTTGAGACGCTCACCTTGATGAGCTCCGCTAATAGCACAGGGTGACTGCTCCCTCCCTGGCTCAGGACAGCCTCACCAATGGCTTCACAGTAATGCAAGGCCTGGGATGCCAGGCCATAATCTGCCAGACGGGAAGCATAAAGGAGCTTATACACCTGTGAAGAGGAATGGGGCCAGTGATGAGTCCATCCAGGCAGGAGAGGGAGAGAGAGGAATTTAGATAAGACTTCTTGGAAGTCAGCTGACTGCCAGCTTCCACTCACTCTGGCATCCAAATAGCAAGGGCCCTGTGCCATTTGGGGCAATTTATCTGTGCATGGGCACAACTCCAAATCCATCCTACGTACAGTTCCTGCATTATGGAGAAAAGGATGGGAGTAGGGGGTCATATCAACTCATCTTCCCAGGCTCCGTTGGAAAGGCAAACCAGTTTATCCCACAGACCACATCACAGGGAGCCTGGGCATGTGAAGGCAGCCCCAGGCACAAGGGCCCACATGAAGATACAAAATGAGACCCTTTGCAAAGGGTGTGAGATCCGGAGAAAGGACAGGCGAATGCAGGCGTGGGGAGGGACTTTCATAGAAGGAGCTATCTGATGAGATGAAGTGTAATGGCTCTGGTGTCAAAGAAAACCAATCCAATCCGGCTCACAATAGGTGTGGGATGTTTGGGCTAGTTCCAAACATCCCACACCATGACTTAGTTTCCCCCACTATAGCATGGACAATACAACTATTCCATTGGAAGCTCTAAAGATAAAATGAGATGATTCACACAGAGAACTCAGCACAAAGGGTATGCACAAATGAGTTGGTAACACACAACCAAACCCTCTGAGCCTCGGTCACCTCTTTCACAAAAGGAGAAACCCCATAGAATTAGAAGTAATATTCAAGAAACATAGTAGTACATTGCTCAGTATGTGAAACAGCCAATAAAAATAGCTGTGCTATGACTATCCACCCAGAACAGTGCCAACATAGCATGTGGGTGGGATGAACAAAGAAGGAAAAGAAACCAAAGCAACCCTGCAGGCGCTATGTAGACGAGCAGTTAGGCAAGGGAGAACTCTCAAAGAAGAGAGATTAAATGGGTTACTTATTTAGAATACAGTTATTCATTCCCAAGGTTGTGTGTGTTCCGTGTTGTGTGTGTGTGTGTGTCGTTATTATAGCTGTGTGCATTCTCAACCCCAGGCACTGAAGAACATCCAGTCATTAGAAAAGGTCTCAAGTGTTGGGAGATATATGATTACACCATGTAAAGATGTGTAACTGTGATTGGTTTAATAAAAAGCTAAATGGCCAATGGCCAGGCAGGGAGAACAGGTGAGGCTTCCAGACAAAGAGAGGAACTGGGAATGAACCTAGGACAGGCAGAATGAGTCGGAGGTACAAAATGAAAAGTCACGATGGAGAATGTAGATTTGAAAATATGGATTAATTTTAGATCTATGAGCCAGTTGGGAGCAAGCCTAACCTATAGGCTGAGCTTTCATAATTAATAAGATGTCTCCATGTCATATTTGGGAGCCGGCTGGTGGGCAGAGAAAGACTCATTAAATATGGCGCCCAAAATGGAGCATTTATTTCTTCATAGAACCTGAGAAAGCTTGAAATGAGAAGTTCCAAACACTCAAACATGGAACCAGACACAGCTTCCTAGTCCCACAGTCTCTCAGGCGGGCCACAGCATACAGAGACATGGCTGCCAGCTGTTGCCTACAGGCTGGAACCAGGCACCAGTGCCATGTGCTAAGCTGAGTCTGTGCAGTGACTGACATGGCAGTTTAAGATTTGTCTCACATGGTCAGAGAATGCTGCAGGCACTTAGTAAAACCAGGTCTAGACACAGAAAACCTCTAAAAAGGTACAGTATGTTTTAAAATGTACTTAGATACTAAAGAAAGAAATGGGTATAGATAGTCATTAAAATAATAAAATGAAGTTTTTAAAGAAAAAATAAAGTAATATAAAGAAAATAAGCCACATGAAGATGGGAAATACACATTGAGTCTGGATCCTATATGGTGCTTTGTTGACTCTAAATTTGATAAATGCTAATGTACAAAACCAATAGCTGATGACAGACATCTGATTGTGGAAACTGCTAAACTAAGCCAACCTGTATATTCTAAGAATGTCGTCAAAATGGAAGTCAAAAAATATGTTGCATAGTAGGAGAGATTATACCTTTGTTTCCACAGGAAATAAAAAGTTATGGTTCTCTTCAAAATTAATGGAAAACACACTGAGATCTTGGCTACAGACATAAAAAAAGAAACCAAGAAGCCGGGCATTGGTGGAGCATGCCTTTAATCCCAGCACTCGGGAGGCAGAGGCAGGCAGATCTCTGTGAGTTCGAGGCCAGCCTGGTCTACAGATCAAGTTCCAGGACAGCCTCCAAAACAATACAGAGAAAGAGTGTCTTGAAAAAAAAAAGAAAAGAAAACCAAGAAAGGCTACACAGGACAGACGGCCCATATGCTGATCCCTCTCCTATGGGAACAGCTATGAGACTAGATGAGACAGGATAACTCTTGTTGGCTTCAGAATTATTATTACATGCTATCCTTTCATATGGCATGGATAGCAGTTTGGTTATACAGTCCAAACAAACTTACAAAGATGACTGATATCTTTTACCTGCTCAAACATAAAATAAAAAGACAATCTTTGGCTGGCTTGTGTACAATGCATAGTCCATACTTGTGTTAATGCAGATATGTATGTTACCTTTGAAAGTTTGTGTGTTTTCAGAGCAAGAGGGCCAGACACTGATGGAAATAGTTGCCCCTTGTGATCCAGCCTCTCAGAGTGCCTCTGCTGCAGTTTCCTCAGAGTTCTGAGTTCAGAGCAGCTTCGAGACTGCCAGCTGAGAAGGTCCAGCCTCACAGACTATTCTAGTCAGCACTTCAGGGAAGCCTTGCATTTTCCCATTACCTAGAGACTGGACAGCAAATGTTACAGTTTTCTTAGGACTTGACCATTATCGCAGGTTTCTCAGGGTCCCCTGGGGATGCTATCAACCCCAGACAGCAGGAAACAGTCTAGAGAACATAATGCCCACATTCCCAAGAAGTGGGGGGAGTGATCTGGGGTCATTCAGTGAGTTATGGATGTTTGTCATTGGTTAGTGGGGTTGGTTACAAGTTATTGGTCATAGTTTGGAAAAAAAAGTTGAACAAAGGATATTAGATTCAGAGATCTCTTTCTGAAGGGAAGGGGGGATATAGTATAGAAACAGCAGGATAAAAGGATGGATTGTTGAGTCTACTTTCAAATAACCACTAGTCTCAAATATTGCCCATTGGTATGGATTTTGTATGCTGATACAAATTTAATGTTATTTTTGTTATACTGTATATATGTTTCTATTCTTGCTTAAGGTATTTTACCTATGCAGCTCAATCAAAAATGTAATATAAAGTTTTAGTCCTTGAAAACTATTTAGGATAATAAAGAAAGACAGGTTAGTAGTTAGTCATCTATAACAAACTTATAATTATGTTAGGTATGTTTTCAGAATCAAACAGATATATTTTAAATAGATGGTTTTCAAACATTTCAAAGACCTACAGAATGTGGCATTTAAAATGTTTTAATAATAACATAAATCTTTTTATGACAGTAAGACACATCTGCTCTTAGCAGCACCAATTTACTTCAAAAAAGAGTGATGGGTATTGAAGAACCTCCATATGGAGTTTGCTTTCATTGTGTGTGGCAAAGTTGGCCATTTGGGTAAGAAACTGCCCTTGCCTCAACTACTGACAGTATACTGTACAAACTGGACAAGCAGGACACAAAGGCAAAAGACTGCTGAACTTAGACAAGACAAAGTGAAACAGTCTTTCAAAACTCCTACTTCACAGAAAGGTCTATTCTAGGCCTATAGACCAAAGACAGATGCCCCAACATCGCAGAAGAATCTTGGGTCACTGTCCAGGCACCCAGATGCTTCTGTCATTTCTACAGCTTTGGAAGTTGTTTGTTCTACATTTCTTGTTTACTCCAGCAATATTATATCCTTCTTGGATCTCTGATGGAGTTGAAGACAAGATAGCTATAGCTTCCCTTGTTACCAAATTCAGACAAAAAACTTACATAAGAGATGTAAAATTTATAAGGTGGAGAAAAATAAAAGCTTAAATTATTTATCTAAGAAAATGTTTTGTGATCTAAAAAGATAGTTTGGGGTTGACAATACAAGTTATAATAAAAACTAGTTTGGGTATAAAACTTTGAACTCATCAAGAGAGGATAGATTAGAGTATTTTCTCCAAAATTGTCAAATGGACTGGACATTGTAAATGTAATTCTTACCTAATAATTGTTATTATTGTATATAGTTTTACTGTGTTAGAGTTAAAACCTTTCCTTTTTGTTTAGACCAAAGGGGGAAATGTTGCAAGATGTTTGACTACACTGTGTAAAGATGTGTTACTGTGCTTGGTTTAATAAAAAGCTAAATGCCCAATAACTAGGCAGGGACAATAGGTGGGACTTCAGGCAAAGAGGGGAACGGGGGATGAATCTAGGCGTGCACAGGAGACACCAGGATGCACAGAACAAATCAGAGGTACAGAATGAAAGAAAGATAAAAACCAATGTGGTAGAATGCAGATTTAAAAATATGGGTCAATTTAAGATATAAGAGCTAGTTAGGAAAAAGCCTAAGCTATAGTCCAAGCTTTCATAATTAATAAGATAGCTCCATGTCATTATTTGGGAGTTGGCTGACCATACAGAGAAAGACATTACACTCAGGCCTGAAGAGGATACTCAAGGCTGAGAAGAAAGGTACCTGCCCATAAAAAGGAAAGAAAACACAGAGTAGTGTCAAGTAAATGTGAGATGGGGTCCTTGAAGCTAATACTGTGCCTGGAATAGTCCTGTTCCAAGCGCAGAAACAAACTAACTCAGTTTTAGGCCAGTTTGCAGCACAGGCTCCACTGAAGTTCACATCCATACCAGGAAGAGAGATGAGAAAGGGCTACCAGGTGCCAGGTCTCAAACACATGGGGGATTAGACTGGGGTGGATGCAATGCTTCATCAGTCACTATGGACATAAGGAGGCAATGGGACACCAGACAGTCTGAGACAAGAGAACAGAACTTTGCAGTGTTCTTGCTGCTTGCCCAGCTTAAGCCCTGAAAGGGAAGAAAGAGTTGGTGGGCCTAGAACAAAGCAGGAGGGAGGCTCCAGAGAAAAGAGGTATAGTGACAAGGAGGGGGAAAGTCTAGCAGCCACTGGGACAGGATGAGTATGGGAGCTGAGGAGGAGATGAGGGCAGAGAGCCCAAGGCCGCAGAAGCCAAGGAACGAGGGGCAGAGCTGCAATAAGACTTGCGTGTGTCCAGAGTGAGGCAAGAGCCTCCAGCAGAGACCTCCAAAGGGCTTTGCTTTCATACTGTAAAATTCCGACCTTCCAGGGACATGGGGGAAAAAATAGTAGCCTTTCCCACACTAATGAGGACAAACACAGGAGATGACTTAGCCCAAGGTACCAGATGCCAAACAGCAAAGCTGAAAACCTGGCTGCCTGCAGCTGAAGGTCCCCTCCGGGTTCAGTTACCTGAAAAGAAGGGATGAAGGATTTGGGGCGGCCCAGCATCTGGCAGTACTCGAAGATTTCTGTCCTCTGGATAGCCTCGATTGTTGCAAACTTCAAAAACTCTTGACTAAAACCAGGGAATAACAACAATAGAGGTGAGGTAAGGATGCTGCTCTCTCAAGCAGCTCCAAGAGAGGAAAGAGACAGGGGGAGGGGGGTTCCCAGTGCTTACGCTTCCTCCTTGCCCTCTGGCCTCTTGGGTTTGGGGAACAAATGAATGAGCATCGTGCAGGCTCTTCTAGAAGAGCCTGCCTGTGAGAAGGAGGCTGTGTACCTTCCTCAACGGAAGCTAGGACACTACAATTCTCCCACTTCAGCATTCTGAAAGCTAGCCTTCAGCCCTAGGGCCCGGCACACCCCAGGAAAGGCAGATCAGGCAGAGCATGCCAGCGCAAAAAAGAAAGCTGCAGAGTCCCAAGCACCACAGACGGCCTGGCAGAGAATGGCCAGGACAACTGAGCCAGAAAGAAATGACAGATTTTACCCAGGAAGTTCTTTCGGACAATGAGGGTGAAAACCAGGGTGAAGGTGGTCTGAGGGGAAACAAGAGGTGCTCATACACACCCCCAGGCTCCCCTCCACAGCTTGCCAGGTGCCCAAAATCTCAGTCAGTCACCAGGAGTATTTCTATAAGCTAACATATTTCCAGAAACTTCCCTAAATTCATAGACATAGAAGAGGAGGCATATTAACATAGGTACCTTTATGGTCGTATTCGGCCCAGACAGGCTTCCTTGAGAAGCTGACTACGCTGTCTGAACCCAGGCTCTCAAGAGAAGGGTCTGTGAGGCAGGCTCATTGCTACAGTGGTGGAGGACTGGGGACCACTGATTACAAGTTGGCTCCTACAGCCCATCTGAGCTCCAAGTTCAACCTCATGCTACACCAGCAACGCCACCTTAGAGGAGGCCTTCGGTCTCTCTGTACCTTGCCTTCCCCACTGCATTTACCTTTTAAAAATAAATAAATAAGGTGAATCTGTAACAGAGAAAATGGGACACAGCAGGTGATGGTGCCGCAGCTCAGAAGCTTTTCCTTTTCCTGTGTTCAGACCGGTCAGTAGTCCCGGCTGACTGGCTAGCCTAGAGCTCACTGTGTAGCCCAGGCTGGCACTGATCTTGCTCCAGTCCTCCTGTCTATGCCTCTTGACTTCAGGGATTCGAGGAGCATGCTGCCATGACTGCTCAGAAATCCTAACTATTAAGAAGAAGGAGGTGGAAAGACTCAGAACAGTGAAAGTTACCCAGGGTCAGCTTGTCTGTTTCAGCTCATTCCTTCTCCAGGACTCTAGGGTTCTTTTCAACATAAAAATCCTGATGCATGCTCCCATTAGACAAGTGACCAATGGCTCCAAGAAGCTTGTGCTCCACATTAATGTACTGAAGTAGTATGGAGGCCCCAAAGTGTAGGTTCTCAGAACAGGCTCAGGGCTGCCCCCCCCCAAAAAAATTGTAAATTTCTTCATTTTTTTTCTACATAATGGCTTGCTGTGGAGCTAGGCTGCCACCCAGTGGCCAGAGGGGTACAATACACACCAAAGGCACCAGTTCAGGCCCTCTGGTGGAGTGATGTGGCATCCTCCAGTCACCTTGCCTAATCTGGTGCAGAAGATGCAAGAGGAGCCAGCAGTAGCTGAAATTTACACAAGAAAATGAATAGTGAAGCCATGAAAGCCAGCAAGGGCTAAAACAATCCACGGAAAGCATCTTTGCCATTTCCTTGCATGCAAAAGGCACATACCTGTGGTTACTGCCCAGCAAGGCCAGAAGGTCTGTCTTCGCCGTGTAGTGGCCAAAGGGCGCCTGAGCCATGAGATAGCAGAAGTGAGCTGCCTCCACAAGTCCTTTCCCAGCTGCAGGAGGAGAACAAAAACCCAGTCACAAAATGCACCCTGTGGAGCCCACTGTCTGAGTAGACTAGAGAGAAATAAAGAGTGAACTCCAGGGTCAGAGGGCAGAAACCTCGTGAGAATAAACGGGGGAGGGGAGGGAGGTCCTCAAGGCATCAGTCCTGGACTTCCACCTGACTCCTCCCACATCAGCTTTCTGACCAAAGAGACTGCATTTCAGCTCTCATCACTCACATCACATCGGGTGCTATTTCGTATTCCCCTGATTGGCTTTCTTTGGGAATTTTCTAAAAGTCATGAGGCTGAGAAGTGAGAGGAGATGCCTAACCCTAGGTAAAGTGGGACATCAGAAGTGGATTTAAAGCATCCTCATGGGGTGTGACTCCTTCCTCTGCTGAAGTCACAGTCGAGGGCTTTTCCTGCACTCATAAAAAAAATCACGTCAATTACCGATTTTTTTTAGTGTTCTCTGTACACATCCCACTGCCTTAAAATTGAACTAAGTGGGTGTGACAGCTAATCTTCATGGTCAACTTCAATTGAATTGGAATAACTAAGGTTTTGTTGGCTACTGTGTCATAGCAGTGAAAAAGTAACTAATACAGTGGGTTAAGTACCAAACACAGTCTGATAAACAACAAACATGGATTCCCTTTTAGTCAGGCAACCACCACTTGTCACAACCTTATATATGGCTGCTCCAAATTGAGCAGAGCAATTATTCTCAATGTTCCACAAAGAACACCATGTTTTCTAAAAGCTCCGCCAAGACAAAATTTTTGAAGTAATCGTCTGGAATATACTACAGGCATTAAGTGCTTGTAAGGCCATGTTCACAGACAGATAATAGAAATAAAGTCAGAGTCACCAGGGTAGTTTAGACTGCCCATCTGATGGCCTTGGGCCACTGAAGGCCAAGAGGCAACAGGCAATGGCATGCCCCTGTGTTAGCTCTAGGTAAAAGAATCTCACCTGAGAGTAGAAAATTAAGAGGGGCCTCAACAGCAATGACAATCAAAGCTGCCAGTGGGAAATGAATAAGGAAAAACAAAGCTGGCAAAGGGGATTCTGGGAAACAGATAGATGTGCCTTCCCTGGAGTTTCTTAAGGAGAAGGACCGAGCCTCCAGACCCTGAGAAGGACAAAGCCATAGACTGGCTGTCCACAGAGACTAAGACTCTAATGCCAGCATTGGAAGCTGGCCTGGAGAGGCCCTAGAGAAGGGAAAATGATGGTTTCTGCTCACCCAGGGTGTCCCCCATGCTGACAATCGACCGTTGGTACACCTCTGTGTCTCCAGCCTGATTTGACAGGATCACAGCCAAGTGGGGCCGCCAGTCTCCCCATTGCTTGTCTCCGCAACACTGCAAAATAACCACAATTTAAGAATCATTTAGCACAGCCCAGGGTGTATGTGAAGAAGACTGCTGTTTGTATGTTGGTATGAAGTTCAGAGCATGTCTGCTACACTGCCTGTGGTGCTGTTGCTCATAAAGAGTTCACTCCACGCGAAGCGACAGGTGCGTGACACAGAACAAGTTGGTCACACATACCTACAACCCAGCACTCAGGAAACTGAGAGGACACCATGAATTTGAGACCTGCCTGGACCACAGTGTGAGACCCTGTCTCCACATAAAAATTTTAAAAGGAAATATCATATATACATACACATGCACACCCACATTTGCACACACATATACACATACAGACACATACACACAGAGACACATAAACATACATACACAGACACAGAGACACATAAACATACACAGACACAGAGACACTCACATGCAGAGACACAAACACACACACACACAGATATACATACATACCCATACACACACAAAAACACACAGACACACATACACACTCATACACTCAGACACACATACACATGTACTAACCTTAAGATCTGGAATGGTAATCCCTCCAACACTGTTCTTTTTGTTCAGATTGTTTTGGCTACCCAGGGTCATTTGTGATTCCATGTAAATCTTAGGACGGATAGTGTTGCTATTTTTGTAAACAATGAGGTGGGAATTTTGATGAGCATTGAACTGAATATGTAAATAGATTTCGGTAAATTGGTCATTTTCACAATATTTGTTCTAATGGTCCACGAATATGAAATGTATTCCCATTTTTAATGTCTTTCTCTATCTCTTTCTTCATAAATTTAAAGTTTCCATTATACAAGTCCTTCACCTCCTTTATCAGATGTATTCCTAGATATTTTATTTTCTTTGAGGTTATGATGAATAGAAGTATGTCCATGATCTCTTTCCCTGTATACTTTTGGTGTATATAAAAGCTATTTATTTGTGCAAGTTGATCCTGTGTCCTGCCACATTGCTAAACTTGTCATTTCTAGAAGCTTTCTGGTAGAATTTTGGGGATCTTTTATGTATAATAGCATGTCATCTGCAAATATGGATCATTCTCTCCATATAGAAGAATGTTGACTGTTTCTCACATATATCTTTTATTATGTTGAAATATGTTCTCTCTACTCCTACTCCCTGGAATTTTTATCATGAAGGCATGATGAACTTTGTCAAAAGTTTTTTCTGTATCTATTGAGATAACCCTGTGACTTTTGTCTTTAAGCCCATTTATGCGGTTTATTGCATTAAATGGCTTGCATACATTTAACCTTACCCCAGGCCACCCTCCCCAGAGAAGAACTTCAGGGAGGAAAGAATCAATGAAGGAACAACATAATGTGATGAATTCTGCACAGGCCCTGTATTCAACCCAAGTCTTGACTCATACAAACAGTGTGAATGTGAACAAGTCTTTAATTTCACTGAACCTCTGCTTTCTTCATCTCTAGAATGAAGAACATAATTTCTACATAACAGGATTTCTGGTGATAATAAAGAAAGACTATTACATAAAGCACATGACACATGTTTCACACTTTGTTTGCACTCTAAAAATTTCATAATAGGTGTGTGTACACTTACAAACACACACATACTCAATAGAGAAAGGAGGTAATTTACACACCAATATAAATCAATCCTGTTACATAAAGAGAGAAGAGAATTGACAGAAATTGCTAACACTTAGAGTACTGAACTATTTGTAATTATTCAGTGCTTATAATCATCACAAGGTATAAAGGATGTCTTATCCAACCTCATGTGATACTTGCTCCCTATCCATTTTAACAGTGCAACATAAATGTATATCATAATGGTGGTCATAAAAGTCATCATAGTAATAGCAGTTTTAATTTACAACAATGGCTTAGACCATGAACCACACCCTGGGCTAGACATTTCTCTTGCCCACAATCACATGCCCTAGGGGCATTGCTATTGTCACTTAAACTTATAAACCAGGCATCTTCTTGATGAATCGGTAAGAACATAACGGAAGAGAAACTCTACAAAAAGAAAATGATCTTAAAAGCCATCCTCCTCCCTGGTTTGGAGCAAGGGGGTAGTATAAAGCTGAGACAGACAGACAGACAGACAGACAGACAGACAGACAGACAGACAGAGATGAGAATTCATTAACTAATTTCCTTGATAGGATAGACCTGTCAGAAAGGCGGCTGACAGGTTCAGACATTCTTTTTCCTTTAACTTCACAATAATTCTATTGGTTGGCCATCAAAAGCTCCACAAAGAGAAAAATGTTGGTATTAAGTAGCAGCCAAGTTTGTCTAGCAGTAATGAGCAAAGCCAAGCTTAAACCTATGATGGAACCCACATCTGTGTGTCCAGGAGACATGCGTCTTCCATGACACCACCCATGTAGCAGAAAGGCAGCCTTGTATTTGATGTGAGGGGCTAGGAAGTTCTCACACTCTAAGATAAAATGCTGCACTGACACATTGCCTGTGGAGCCTCAGCTCCCTTATCTAAGAGCAGGGAAAATTAGCTAACTCTACTTCATCACTGAGGCCCAATGGACCACAAGCTAATTATATCACTTTCTCCATTAGGTGCTCCATGACATGGTTCAATTTTATTGCAGTACTGAAGCTTCCATTCAGATGAATTGTGAGGCATACCCTATATTCCAAAATAGCCCATTGGTTTAATGACGGGGGACAGAAGGCATTATTTCTCTTTGCTTTGCTTTTCTTAAAATTATCCATAGCAAGAAGAATATCAAAAAATGAAAAGAAAAGAAGGAAGGAGAAATTAATTTCCATTAAAACCAGTTGCTAGCAAAAACTCAAATTTCAAATATAAGATGTGACTGCCAAAAGTAATAGAGATTGAATCGCAATGCATTGAGCAGGAACAAAGGTGATGAAATAATATTTCTATGCAGCAAGAACATAAAGCAAACATAAAGGAGCTCAGGAAAGAGACGGTACCAAACAGGAATTGCTCAGGTGAGGAATCAGGGAAATGTTAAAGAAACAAAAATAAAACTGTTGGAACATAAGAGCAAGAGACACCAGGGAAAACAGTGAAGGACAGAGGCAAGAAAAGGGAAGAGGGAAAGACAGGAGTAAGCAATGGAATGATGGAAGAAGGAAAGAAAAATAGTTTAAATTTAAGGAAAAAAGTCCAATATAGCAGCACATGTTTGAAATCCTAACACCTGGGAAATGGCAACAGGAAGATTAAGAGTTCAAATTATCCTTAGCTACATACTGAGTTTGAAGCCAACATGGGTCTGAGAATCGAGATAAGTATATATCTGTAATTCACATGTTTACCTATAGTTTATACATGTGAAATAGACATGGAATTTCTGGAAATGAAAACAAAATAAATATTGAAAGATACAATCCAAGAAAATGTTCCTGGATTCTAAGATATAAATGTGTACATTCAAAGGGCAGGCTATGCAGTACTGCCAGAAAAAAAAAAAAAAGACCTAGACATTCAATGCCAAGATATGTGCTGGTAAAGCTATTGGATAAGAAAAGAAGACATTGACTCAAAAAGATCAAATCTGCTGTAGTGGAGATGCATCTCCTCGGCCATATTCAACTCCAAAAGCACAGAGCCTCACATGTCCAGCTCTGGGGGATTGATATGCAGTGGGGAAGCTTCCCTTCAGGAAACCTAAGGGGAGCCCTGCTGTGAGAAGTCTGAGGAACAGCGGCTCTGGTACAATCAGGCACTGTGGGAGAGGTAAGATCTTTGGAACCAGACACACCTGAGCCAGTCAGGACCCCACTCCTCACTACCTCCATAACTAGGCACCTCTGTTTCTGTGTCTGCAAAAGCAGAGATAATAACTCCTGTCTCCATCCATGAAATCAGCTACTGTGTATCAAGTCATATATGGGCCAAGCACGTTGTAGATCATTAATAAACTATCATTCATGCCTCATCTTGAAAGGTATTGCTACATTCCCAAGTAGTCCTCAACAGCCCACTCCCAACCCTTAGGACTCCGGGGTATAGAAGGAGTACCATGGCTGCTTGTGGAATCCTCCCGGACATGAGCTGGAAGAGGGTCTGCAGGGGGTCGTTGAGTGCCAGCGTACTGGTAAAGCTATGAGAAGAAAGGAGAGTCAGTGGGGAGTCAAGCCCAGAGGGAACCCATTACCAGCACACAGGCCTTCAGTTTTGGAACTCGGACTTCTCTCTGCTCTGCTGTGCCTTTGTGGCCTTTTAGGGACGATCAACCACATCACACTCCCCACAGTAGACTTCATTGTTCAAGGACATTTTTTCCATTTCCACCCTAATACCCTAATTCTTGAGCAGTCACTCCTAAATGCCTTCTATTGGTGAGCTGACTTCCCATATCTGCAGGTCATCTGGGTAGCCCAGCAGTAAGCTGGGAAGCTCTCTTCCATGGGCCCCTCCTTCCCAGCCACCCTCAGTTCCTCCTCACCAAACCCATCCCACTTAAGCATCATTTTTCCGGCTCATCTCTAGCCTGGGTCTGTAGAGCTTTGACTCACAAGCACTAAATAGCCATTTTCAATAACCAAAGAGGCGTGGAAGAGGGACCAGAAATGATCCTGCTGATGACAAACTGTGGGATGTGCTTAACAAGGATATAATAAGCTCTACAGCTGATTTGAGAGTTAAGCATATTCAGTAAGAGATATTTTTCACAATTCACTGGGCCCCATCAAAAATCAATGGCCCAAGGCAAAACTCTATAGCAAAGATGTATGCTACAACATGGGGATGTGGGATGTTCATTTCCAAAACCCAAAGGGAAAATTGTCCCTCAGATCACCGTCTTTTGCTTAATAGCACCCTTGCCACAGGAGCTCAGCACACTCAACATTACAGACAGCAGCATGCCTGCCACTCCAGTCTGGGGCCATAATGGAAAGAGGGTGCATTGCTGGTGCCTGAGATGGAGTTGAAGTAATAAAGAGTCTCACTGAGACCATCATGAAGAACAAACCACCATGTAGTGCGGCAGCCAATAGGAGCACAGAACATAAACCAGAGTGTATGTCCCCTCATCCAACTCTCTGCCCAACAGGATTCACGGCCAATTTTCTACCCAAGTTAAGCTAAGAGGGTTGCCTCCACAATCTCAGGCAACCCTAGAAGATAAACAGGCACTCATGACATCTTTCTCACACTCTGATCCAAATCTACTCCTCCAGGAGGCCTCTCCCTCACTCCTGCCACCCACGATGTGCACAGAGTGTAGAGGACTCATATGGAAACTCTTCTACAATGTCAATCTAGACCTAACACCTCCTCTTCACACTGATTACCCACTGCTAGACGTCCCCCCACTTACACCAGGCTGTGAGCTTTGATCCTATCCCCGCCTCACTTGGCTTGGTCATTCTCCCTGGTCTATCATGGCACTTGGTTCACTGTCGGCTGTGATTCCTTACTAAGTACGCCTGTTCTCTAGACATTCCCAGTTAATGCCTGCTCTACCATGGTTCATGGGGCCCCCTCAGAAGCCACAGCCTCAGTGCAAGGCCAAGCCCTGAACACTGTTTTAAATCAAAACCCCTTAGCCTCCAGGCTCCATCAGGTACACTTAAGTGATTCCCACTCTTCCTTCCCTAATGGAACTGTCTACACCACCTCCTCCCAAGAGGACAACTACAGTGTAGAATATTCTAAATTCTCAGAACCTCTGGCCCTGGGGAATTTTGCCAAAATGCTTCCTTATATTTAAATAGGTTTAAAGAATGTTTCTTTTAGCCTGACGATGGTGGTATACACCTTTAATCCCAGCACTCAGGAGGCAGAGGCAGGCGGATCTCTGTGAGTTTGAGATCAACCTGGTCTATAACAGCTAGTTCCAGGACAACCTCCAAAGCCACAGAGAAACCCTGTCTTGAAAAACAAACAAACAAAAAGAGAATGTGTCTTTGCCTAAGTTATAAGAATAGAGGGCCAATGAGATTGCTTAGCAGGTACAATCACTCACTGCCAAGCTTGACAACATAAATTTAGATGCCCTGGATCTATCTAGAGGATAGAAGAAGAGAACTGACTCCCACAAATTGTTCTCTGGCCTCCACACATACTCCGTGGCACATGTACACACACACAGAGAGAGAAAGAATAATAGATAAATGTTTAAAAATGAAGAATTCTTGAGAACTGAGCATGAAGATAGCATGCTTATAATCCCAGTACTCGGGAGGCTGAGGACAAGGAGAATGAGAAGGAAGAAAAGAGGGAAGGAGAAGGGAGGGAGGAAGGAGAAGAGAGGAGAGGAGGGCAGGGGAGGAAAGGAGAGGAGAGGAGAGGAGAGGAGAGGAGAGGAGAGAGAGGAGAGGAGAGGGAGGGAGGGAGGAGAGGAGAGGAGAGAGAGGAGAGGAGAGGAGAGAGAGGAGAGGAGAGGAGAGGAGAGGAGAGGAGAGGAGAGGAGAGGAGAGGAGAGGAGAGGAGAGGAGAGGAGAGGAGAGAGAGGAGAGGAGAGGAGAGGAGGAGAATCAGGAAATGAAAAGTGCTACACCCATCTCAGCAAAGAGAACTTGAGCAGCTGTGTGTGGAACTTCTCAATGCATTTTTAACTTCTTCCCTATACACACACACATGGGCACACACATGCATACATACACATCACCTTTGGAAGGAAGGCTTATTTGCTCTTCTGGTCTTTGTAAGCTGAACTTACCCACTCATGACCCAGTTATAGGTCCTTGGGTCCATCTTACTGGCTAGGAACAAAGCATGGCCCCACAAGTGGTTCTTCATAGCCCATTCCAAGGCTTCCTGAAAAACAAAGCATGACATGTAATAGTACCTTGCCCATATTCCTCCAATAAAAACAACAAATTTCCATATAAAGGTATTGCTATACTCCAAGCAACAGAAAATCCGAGGGAAACTTAGAGTATGAAGAAGGGGGAGCATGAGCACCACCCAGCATGGTACTATTCTCTAACTTGTCCACTCCTCCAGACATCATCCACTAGGACACTGCATTCACTTCTCCTCAAGCATGGTCACCGAGCAGCCTCATGTCCTTAGTATAAGCTACAAAATGTTTCTCAGAACCTAACTACCAAAAATGAGAGAAGGAGTTTATTCCAAAGATTGAGTCTAGAAACATGAGTAGTGGAAATGTATTGCTGGGGCCCTGCTAAAGAGCAGCACCCTTTTTAACAGCTGTGGCAGAGGTGACATCTTCCTTTCTAGGCACAAAGCTGGACATTTGCCACCTCACTGCCGCCTGAGTGTGGCTGCGTATAGGCCGTGGCATGGGAATGACATTGCCACTTGTAGGTTTGGCCCTTAAAATCATCCACACTCATTCCTAATATGCCTCACCCCATCAGGTAACTGCAATGGAAAGGACTCCTGGGGAACCTTGGAAATTCTAAGTTGACGATGATGATTGCCAAAGCGTCCTGAGTCTGATATCATGGGAGAGGTTTAAGCTACTGAATCATTTGTGAACTCTGGTGGAAAGTGTTAAATGGCTACAGTGCTTAAGCCCATGTACATGGGAGCTAGCAAAACTGTTAAATTTTCAGACGCTGTTTCAGGATGTATTGGTTGTGCCATTGAGTAAGATGAGCTAAAGTTCCAACACACACCACAGCCGGGCGTTGGTGGCACACACCTTTAATCCCAGCACTCGGGAGGCAGAGGCAGGTGGATCTTTGTTAGTTCGAGACCAGCCTGGTCTACAGAGCTAGTTCCAGGATAGCCTCCAAGACAATACAGAGAAACCCTGTCTTGAAAAAAAAAAAACACACACGCACACACACCACATATTTACTTTTTTTGATTCAGCTTATAGTTGAAGTTTTCAACTGGTATTAATAATTTTCTTGGTAGCCAGGCAGTGGTGGCACACAAATTTAATCCCAGCATTCAGGAGGCAGAGGCCAGCCTGGTCTACAAAGTAAGTTCCAGGAAAGCCAGGGATGTTACACAGAGAAACCCTGCTCAAAAACAAACAAACAAAAAACTTCCTTGGTAGGAAGAAAAACACATTATTTCTGGCAGGAAGTCACTAAAGTGGTAATTCTACCTCCGTGAAACAAATATCTTTATTATCCCAACATAACTCCATGTAATCATATTGGATAGAGGGGGCAAATTTAATAGTCACAATTAAGAAATTTACCCTCAGGTCCAGAGCAAGTGAAAAAAAACGGCATTAGGACAGCTTATTTTTTAGCATGCTTTAACTATTTCATAATTCTTTTTCATTTGTTTTAAAAAGAAGTGACCAATGAATTTGTTGGGAATTATCAGTTGACTCAAATTTCTGCCCATCCCAAAAATATAATTTATGAATAAGAACTTGAGAACTTTTATCAAGGTTGTCAAAATTATTAAATTCCAGAACTAATACCTGAGTCAATGATGAATAAAAATATCTTAATTCCCACCCCTCATTCACCATCCCACAGTCATGCTCACTGCTCCACCCAGCACTCACTCACCCACATCTATCTCTCAGTGTGGGGAGGGACCCAGAAGCCCGTTTTCAGGCTCATGCTACCCAGATCCAAGCCCCACGTCTAAATCTGACTTCCCAACCTGTAAGCCTGTAAAACAAAAATAGAACCTAACACACAGGTTTCTATGGAGATAAATCAGATAATGCATAGGAGATATTGAGTTAGTGCTTGACAGGTAAAAAATAATTTTTTAATCTGTGTTTTGTTATTGGTGTTATTATAGATATTGTTCATCTTTCTTGAAGGAAAAGTTCAAGACTGATTTATCTCTGTATGCCTCACTGGTTGAAAAAGTAGTACTACAGATAGGTTTTTTTTGTTTTGCTTTGTTTTAATGGAACAAATGGATCACTGGGAAAACCACAATTCCCTGCTAGATAATGAATGTATAGAAAATGGCTGTAATTTGATACCACTTGTTTTTATGTTGCCATGGTAAGCGCTCACATAAAAGAAATCATTGTGTTTTTAAAACTCAAGAAATAAAATATTAAAATTTCAAAGTAGGAGCTGGAGAGATGACTCAGCAGTTAAAAGCACTTGTTGCCCTTAGGGGAACCCAACTTTAATTCCCAGCATTCACATGGTGGCTCACAACCACCTGTAACTCCAGTTCCACGAATCTGACACTGTCTTCTGCCTTTCTAGGCACCAGGCATGCCCATGGTGCACATATATACATGTGGGCGCTCACACATACGTATACAATAAAAATAAATAAATCTTTTAAATGTCAAAGTCACAAAAGTATCTCAACCTCATTTTTATAAATTAATTTGAAAATGGGGGAAAGTTAACTAAATATGACATGCACCCCAAAAAGAAAGATTTGTGGATTAGAAGAAAACATCTTAAAGATCTAAAGAGCACAAGCAATTCATCCTGAGATGATAAAGGGCTCTACAGGAAAAGGTGGGGAAGCCCATAACAAGAATCGTCACAGGTGAAAAGCTAATGTCATTCTTAATAACGGAAGTGCAAAGGTATACTCTGCATTGTATTTTTTCACCTCTCAGATGGCACAGATCACAAGTATGAAGGCACTTTGATAAGGATGCACAATAATAGTTTCACCCTTTGCTCAAGGAGCTAATTGATACATCTAAAGAGGCAATTATTCAATATCTATCAAAATTATAAACTACATACCCTTTGTCCCAACACTTCTGCTGCTAGAACTTTATCTTATATATATTCTCTCATAGTGGGCAAAACGACAGTGATGTCCTGGCTTAGGTATGAAGCATTCCCCACAAAAGACCTACATGTTGAAGGCTTGGTCCCCAGCTATTGGGAGGTAAATGGATCATGAGGAATCTAACTTCAGATTTACTTTATGACTTTTTATAAAACATGAGCACAACTTCAAAATTAAATAAGGCAACCCTCTCCACCCGTTACATGAAAGCATTCAGAGTTGGTAAGAATGCCTGGGATCCAGTGGCAGTGATATCATTCATTCATAAGCATTCTCTCCATAAACTAAGTTATTGTATATATAAATAAACTTATAGAAATATGTAGTCTTTAATCTACTAATTCCTGGTGAAATGTGCAATTGCATAATTTGCAATAACAAAACTGTGAATTGTCTTAGTATCCAAAAATAGTGAATTTAATTTCATTATTTTTAAATTATGTGTATGGGAGAGGGTACATTTGCATGATTTCAGGTGCCCACTTAGGGTAGAGGTGTTGGATCTCCAAGGAACTGGAGTTAATAGGTTATTGTGAGCTGTCCACCATGGGTACTGGGAACTGAATTCGGGTCTTCTAAAAGAACAGTAAACATGAGCCATCTCTCCACCCCTTGAATGCTTGTTTGCTTGTTTGTTTGTTTGTTTGTTTGTGAAGCACTTGTCAAGATGGTCCAAGGCACTGAGTTGAATTCCTTTTTGTTTGTTTGTTTGTTTTGTTTTTCAAGACAGGGTTTCTCTGTGTAGCCTTGGAGCCTATCCTGGCACTCGCTTTGTAGACCAGGCTGGCCTCGAACTCACAAAGATCCACCTGCCTCTGCCTCCTGAGTGCTGGAATTAAAGGTGTGCACCACCAACGCCCGGCCTGAGTTGAATTCTTAGCACTACAAAGACATTAAAATTGTACTATTCGAAATGCTTAATGTTATTAGGGTATCTTATCACATGATAGTATATGTAAAAAGAAATAAACAATTACACATTTATTTGTTTTGAGACAGGGTCTCCCTTTACAGTTTAGACGGGCCTCCTAATCACAGTCTTGCCTACCTCAGCCAAATGTGTGCACCTCCATGCCTGGCTCTTCTATATGGCTTAAACTGATTTTCAATAGGGAAATGCTAGGAGTAACCATATAAAATGTGAACAGATGTTGTTTTTTAACAGTAGAACAACATGAACACTGCAGGTGTGAATGGCAAGCACCTATGTATTTCTTTTCTCACTGTAACTTTCTCCAGAGCTCTAAAAGAAGTATGTTCTAGCCATATTAGAGGAGGGGGGGATGGGGCAAGGGGTGGTGGTCTGTTATCTGAAGGAAATCTGAGAGACAGCCTTTCTCACCTTCTTCCTTCCATAGTAGAGCAGCTTGGTGAATTTCTCCACTATCTGCGCTGGCGTCTCCACGCTGGGGGGAATCTCCCCAGTGAGCAGGTTGCGAGTCCCGGAGCGCGGCACCAGCCAGTCCTCATCAGTCAGGTTGATGAGGTTGGCCACTGGGGGCTGCTTCTTGTACTTCTCCAACTTCCTGCAGTCCTGCATCAGCAGCTCAGCAATGTCAGACCCCACCATGGACTGCAAGGTAAAGAGAGTCATCCTGTGGGATGATCCTATTGGCCCCCAGACTGGACCCCCACGCTGAAGAAGGAAGGCAGCAGGGCCTCTGCCTTCTTCCTGAGGCAGTCATGCAAATGTACCATGGATTTTTGTGTGTGTGTGTGAATGACTAAATTTCAAACGTCAGCTTCACTACAACTGTTACTCTCTGCCTGTCGGCAGTCGCAAAGCTCATTGGAACCACTCACAGTTCCACAGGTGGATTATCTGGCTGGTGCAAAAATCCAGGGTCTGCACACAAACCCCCAGCCAGTGCGGAGGCGCTCTCCAGGAGCGGTCAGCACTGGCACACTGGCCCTGGCATCCCCACTGCACTTCTCTGGGCAACTGCACTGCTTAGATACTGCCTTTTATAACTGGGCCACACACCAACTCCCATGAAGACTGGAACTTCAGTCCGGCCTCCCTCTGCCCCCTATATCACCCAAAGCAGTGACTTACTCCATTCTGTCGACAAAGGAGAACCAGCAGTTGCCAAAGTAGAGCTGAGTCCCTGCTCCCTGGTGTCTCAGATTTGAGACACTGAGCTGCTTTCTGCTGGCAAAACGTCATGATATCCACCTTGTGTATGTCCTCCCTGGGGAGTGATTCAGGAAGCAAGGCTTGAGCAGACACATTCACCCTGTTCAGGGTCTCAGGCTCCCAGCACAGTGAGCTAGTTTATGTGGCAGGAGCCTGACAGCCCAGGACTGAAGTCTAGAATCACAACATTGCTTTTTCCCCCGCAGAACAGGAAGGAGTTTCGGAGATTCTCTTTGTGCATCCTTCTAGCTTTCAGATGAGGACAATGAAACCCAGAGACCTTAAGTGACTTCTCAGAATGACTGTAAGGACTCTGTTTCAAGTCAGACAAGACTGAATCCATATCTGGCCTACCCCCTCTCAGTTTATGCAGACATCTTGCCCCTCTGAGCCTCAGTGTCTTCTCCTCCTTAAGACAGGACTAATAAAAGAAACTGTCTGCATACAAACAGGAATAGGCAAACTGTGTAACATCCATCACATAAACGCTCATTAAGTGGACATCATTATGTGCTCAAGAACATTCAACAAATCAGTGCCACGTGGGGCCAACAGCACAATGCTTGATACACAGCTCAGCTCTCTGCATACCTGCGAGTAAGATGTGGAGACAAAAGTGGGTGGTGTTTAGCACCCTTGAGGTTGTCCTGTGGCCTCTCCATCTGTACACACACACACACACACACACCATAACACTCATTTTTACTTTAAGGAGCCTTCAGTTGTAACATGGGACTTTCTTGGGGCCAATCTTGCTTCAGGATAGGATTATGTATTTAATGGGCTTCCATATGAATAGAGTCTCAGAGCCACCACCTTAGAAATGGGCAGAGTGAGTGCTATACAATTTCTCAAGGGAAAATTTTAGAGATAGCTGATGAACTACTAGTTAGTCAGATACCTGGGATGCTGGCCCTCTGACACCCACCCAGGACTCACCACAACTAAAGGTCACTGAATAGCAGAAATGTGGCTGGAAATGCTAAAGCAGTTCTAGTTCATTCCTGCAGAGGGCAGACGTTCACAATTTTGGGGAACTGGGAAAGTTGGGTTACAGCTCAAAAAAGCAGTTTCAGGAATGTTTTCCCAAGCTAGGCTCTGTTTCCGAACTAATACCTATCGAGTGCATAGGGCATTAGAGCTTACAGATAGGTAAGTCCTATGAAATGGAATTGTTTTTAGATGTCCAATTTATTAAGCTAACTTTTCTTTATGCCCTTCAAATACAAACTAGCTTGTCAAAATTACTTGAGCAACCTCTTTTTCTCTCTACTAGCATAGAGAAATCTATTCCAAATAAGACAGGCAGTTTCCTCTATGGAAGCCAAGACCCAGGCAGGAAGATGTCCCAGCTTTCAAAAGCCTTTATTTAAGTGTTGGGGGATATAGCTTAGTGGATAAGTGCAGTTGCTATGAAAGCAAGAGGACATGAGTTCAAATCCCAAGCACCCACATAAAAGCCAGGTATGAATACATATGCCTGCAACGCCAGAGTTTGGGGGACAGAGACATGCATCTCCTGGGAGCTCAATGGCCAGACAACTTAGCCAAAATGGCAAGCTTCAGTAAGAGACCCTGTCTCAAAATTTGAGAGAGGAAGAGGACAGTGGGAGAGCAAAAGAGGAAAATAACTGATGCCTTCCTCTGACTTGTGCATATGTGTGCATACATAGATGCACTTTCACACACCTGTACCACACACACACACACACACACACACACACACACACACACACACTGTACCTTAATAGCTCTTGCAGTACTTTACCTTGTGAGGGGTCCTGGGAAACTTCTCATCTCCTCTTGATCCTCAGAATCATTAAGGATAACCTGGAGCAGAAAATAAATTAGGTCCCCAAGACTCATGCACCTAATACCCAGCAATTAAATCCAGTATCAGATCCAGAGTTATGGTCCTATGGTGTGGAGACAGTTATTCTGTTGAAGATGAGCCACTAGCATCTCAGGGAAAATGTAAGTCTAGTATCGCTTCTTTCGAAGAAAAGTCCACCCATTCCTGCCACAATAAAGAGCATGTGTGACTCAATTCCCCCTCCTGGTGATGCCCAGCCTCCCGGAAAGTAGAGACCTATGGAGAGCAATTGGGTTGAGCAGAGTGTTTGCACCCCGCAAGGCCCAAGATCTTGATTACCTCCATGCTGTGCACTTCAACCAGAGCCGTTTGTCCATCAGCAGGAGAATTGGGAATTACACATACTAGCTGACCTCCTGGTCCAAAACTCACAGACATGTGGGGAACACAAAACTTCCTCAGTGTCTTGGGGTTGGTTGCTGAGGCATCATCTGGCCAACAGACACAAGTGGACATTGTTAGGTTTACTTTCGCTGCCCTTTAGTTAAGAAAGACATCACGGGTACATTTCTGTTCAAATTCCACTTGGGCCAAGATGAGATGCTGCATGGGATACTTGGAAAAGGTGATGCTCTAGTCTGATTTAAACCTCTAAGAATATGTCAGATTATAATGTAAGGATTTTTATCATTTGGTCCAAATGATAATGCACTCATCTCAGACTCTCAAAGATGGTCAGAGGACAAGCAGCCTTTACTTCCAGTGTTTCTAGACATGTGGCAAGCCTCCAGACTAGTGCCCTTACTTCACATCACTCAGTCCTCTCTGGTCTTCATTTTCCTCACTTGTTGCTTAAGAGTTCCCTAGAGTGCCTCCTAAACTAACATAATGATGCCTAGGAGCAGAGTTCCCTTCCAAGAGCCATCAATGATGCAAGTTACATTACTAGAGAAGATTAGGGAGAGGGATCAAAAGTTGGCTCCTCTGCCTAGGAGACATGCATAGACCAAAAAGGTGAGCAAAGACCCGTTCCTGGAAGAACAAAAGGGTAACTTTCTGCATGACCCAACCTGTCCTTCTCATTATTAACCAGCTCCCATGGCCCTTGGTACCCACCAGCCTGAATAGGTCTCCACGCTGCTGATACCACAGGTTCATACTGCTCTGGGACATCTGTCATGTACTGACTGAGCTCATAACTGCTAGAGCTGAGGCCAGACTCATGCTGTTGGAGAAGGTTGGACCTGCTGGTCAGTGATGACTGGGGGGGAAAAAAGGAAAAGCAATGAAATTATCTAGGAAGGAGTTCTGGAGAGCTTGTCATTCCACATCTCAGAGTTCTTCCTTCAAGGAAACAAAACTTTCCACTAAACACAGAGAATGCGGATTGATGGAAAATGGAAAGGATCGTCCCATTGAGTAAGAGCCAGTGGGGTCAAGTGACTTAGAACTCAAATTCAGTTTCTGATGTCATGTTGCTATGACCTTAAACAGGAGATTTGGGCTTTCCCAGCTCAATATCTTCATCTGCAATATAAATTTGGGATATGTGTCCAATACACAATTCCTTAGCAATACACCAGCTGCTTTGTGAACACATGTACACTCTGGATAATGTACACTTCCTGCAAACAAATGTACAGAAATTTATATTTCAGAAGAGATGAATAAAACAGTGGATCCAAAGGTTCTTTGTAGAATGTAAAGTGCTGTTCTCACATTAGGGTTTTAGAATCAGTCACCTATGCTCTATCCTATCAAGTACTAGATACAGACAAATAAATAAATAAATAAATAAATAAACAATCACACTGATCTAATCTGCCAAAAATTAAAAACAATACAGAGAAACCCTGTCTCGAAAAACCAAAAAAAGGAGCTCATCTGTACAATATTTTTACAACTTGTCCATACGTCTAAAATTATCCCATAGTAAAATATTTATTTTTACTCAATACTATTTAGAGCCCTATTTTGTGACCTAGATGGCATGTGGATTAGCATTTTAGAGAAAAGGCATTAAAGAGTCGGGAAAGATTTCAAGGTTGCTTTTCAAACCTAAATGAAAAGATTCTAACAATTTTTCACTTTCTAACCCTTTAGTACTCTGGGGTGTTGAACACCTAAGTCACAGAGGCGGTCTCTTCTCTTTCCAAGCACCTTATGGTGAATTAAGCCTGCCCACTTGACAAAACGGGAATAGTTCAGATCAGGGTCTTGGACTGGTAAGATTAAGGTGGGAAGACAGGGGAAATTGTTGTGAGTGGAGACACTGCTGTCAGCTGCCTGCCCTCCACCCCTGCCAGCCACTGCCGACAAGGTGGCGTAATGCATGGCCACAGGCCTCCAGAACCCTGTCACTTTAGGTTACCTTTTGTTTCTGGGCCTCGCTCTCTGGAAAGAACTCCCCGGGCTGCTCCTGTCCAAAGATGGAAGCAAGGCTGTCTTCATATGGATTCTTGCTGGTACTGCAAAATGACAGCAGTGTTGAGACAGGTCCTGAGCAAGCCAGCAAGGCTGGAATACTTTTTGCTGGAGGCTGGCCTGGTGCTAAGTATGGGTAGGTATCAGTTTCAGTGCTACAGCAAGAAGCATTTCCTTCTTTCCCTCTAGTGTACTAGAAAGACGGAATGTTTGGGTTCCACACACAGTTATTAGATGTGGCCCAGACATTGCAGAGTACCCTCCTGCAACTGCTTAAGTCAGAGTCATTGATGAACCCCAAGACTAAGGGCACCAGGACAAATGCTTCAGTCACGTCTCTTCCCTGGTGGTCTTATGCCAGGATGATATTCCATGCTTAGGACCAGGGAGAGGGAAGCACCCCAGACCCAGTAAGGCCCCAGTCATAACAATTATTACAAGACCACATAGATGGACCACAAATAATTTTATAGGATATAAACTAGTCCTGAATAGACAACAGCTTTCAGAGATTTAAAAAAAAAACAAACAAACTCTCTTCCCGGGATTATGCCAACAGTTGACCTGGGCCACCTTGAATTATCCTCATGTCCCTGTGGCTAGAAAAAAAAAGCAGACTGTCTTCTATAGGTCAGGAACCACTGCCAAATGCCCTAAGATTATCCTAACAGAGTCTAACTAAATATTGTCAATATGGTTTGTCTTTTCACTTACTGGAACTGGTTCTCACTCTTTGTTCCAAATGGACTATTGTGCTTTTCACCATGATGCTCATTGAAGTACTTTTGATCTCCATAATCTTCATTCCAGATATAAGGACTCCCTTGCCTTGCCACTGCACCCTCAGAGAAAGCAAAATGAAGACAGGTCATTTGCTGCTCCTGAAATGCCTTTTAGAAAGATACTAGGGAGCTGTGAAGCTGAGGTATTGCAATACAGTAAGTACAAAAACATATTTACCAAATGCATTGAATCACCAGTATGCTCCAAACCAGCGTGCATGGCTTTATGTATGTGTATACAGTACAATACCCTATCATGTGAAGGTATAGGGTATGGAACTCTCTCATTAGTGTGGATCTGCTGTCCCCAGGATGAAGTGATTGTTGCACTCATATTATAGCTCAGCATACCAGATGGGCTTAAGAGTTGATTTTACTGTTACTTAATCATTAAATACAACCTTTGCTACAAGAATGAATAAGAGAAAAATGTGAAGTACACACTATCCACAGAACCAGTAACATAAGGGCAGTATTATCAAAGGGCAAGTCTCCAAACATAGCACCATTGGTTTCTGACCCTGGCAGTAGGCCACCCATGCATCTCTAGTCCCCAAAGTCTATGAAGATTACTTCATACCTCTTTCTTCTTGCAGCAGCTGTGGGTGTCCTTTGTAGTAATAATTTCCATAAGCATACTCTTCCCTGGGTGTTGGAGTGTGGTACCTCCGATAGGGGTCCTCATAGCCTGGCCTGAGATATCACAAAGGCAGCCAATCATCCATCAATGGTGGTAAAGGGAGAAACCAAAGAGAGACTGGATGAACTAGAAAACTTCAGAAGACAGAATGACTGCCCAGTCCAGAATCTGTTTGATTCACATTAGGTCAGAAAATACAGAATCAGAACAGGGAGGGCCTTTGCTTCACAAGAAGGCTGGAATTTTTTTATAATAAAACTCTCTTTTTACTTTAAAATGTTCATATATAAGGGAAAAAGAAGAGCAGTGCATGTGAGAGCCTTGAGTGAGGTTGGAGGACGCTAAGTTTAAGGACAGCCTGTTCTATGTAACAAATCCCCGGAAATGGAGATGGGGGCAGAGAGGAAGAAGGAAGTGAACAAGAAACAAGAGCGATTAATAGTCTATTCATAGATACTTAGAAGGGGCAGGTCCTCTGCAGCTCTAGAAGTCATACCTTGAGTATAACTGATTAGGATAAGATCCTTCCAAGTAGTTTGATCCAGACACAGGCTGAGACCATCCCCCAGGCCTGGGTACATAGCGAACCTGTTGTTGGTCATCCCTGGGGTCCTGTGCCCTGTGGTCCTGTGCCTTGGGGTCCTGCTGTGACTTTGAGCTCCTTTGGGCATCCTGCCCTTGGTGGTACTTATCTCCACTGTACCGAGGGTGAGGACGGGGTCTATAATGTCCACTCAAAAGCCCTCGGTTTGCATCCTTTGATGGTGTCTTGGGCCTCACTTGTGGCTGAGATGACCACTGGGGAACCCAAGGTTCCATCTCTGATCCTTTGATTTTCTTCTTGGGTCTTGAGGCTATTATGTGGTTATTTTAATTTCCTGCACACAAAAAGAAAACAAATCATCATTCTGGAGAGCTGGGGACATACACAGCTCAGTCATATAAATTTGATCCTGAGCAGTTATATAAAAAGTCAGACAAATGTGGCAGTGCACACTTGTAAGACCAGCACTGGGCAGGTAGAAACAGGAAGAACTCTGGGGTTCACTGGACAGCCAACTGAGCCTAGCCAGTGAACCCTGGGTCCCAAAGAAAGGCCTTGTCTCAAAAAACAAAGTGTATGGCTCCTGAAGAATGGTACTCAAGGCCAACCTCTGGCCTACACACACACACACACACACACACACACACACACACACACACACACACACAAGTTATAAGCTTTTATTCAAAATGGTAGTTGATTAGATTTGGTGAAAAGACCAACTACAGTTCTCAAAATTGTCTAAAACAAAGCATATGAGTACTGACATAGAGGAATATAAAAAAAAAATCTCGAGCAGATACATTAAATAAGTAACAGGCCAGACAATTAGATTGATGCTGACTAAAAAATTAAGAAAGTACATATGGAACAACAGATGTAGGTGGCATGGGAGGCAGATAACAGTACTTGATACAACTACAAATGCTATCAAGAAATTCCAATTAATGTTTCCTCATTTATCCCACCAGCAAATATTTATACAACGCTTAAAACGGATGTGCTGAGGTATCATAAATAGAATAAGCCTTGTCGGGAGCTAATCAGAGTTCAAATCCTTACTATATCTCTTACCAGCCTGATAATTTTTTTAAGCTTCAATTTCCTTACCCGTGGAGATGCTAGATACTACAAGTTAATGTTGCAGGGTTGGTGTCAAAGTTAAACCTGACATATGGAAAGTGCCTACAACTGCCTAGTATATAGTAATTGTTCATACATCATAGTGTCTTCAGAAACCAAGGGTAGGGTAGTGTGAGTGGCTGAAGACTTACTAGGTCTAGGGAGATGTGTCACTGGGTTAACGGTTTGCTACAGAAACATGAGAACCTGAATTCAAATCCTCACACATAAGAAAAGCCAAACTTGATGCTCCTGTGAGACAGTGGGCTTCAGATTCAGTGAGACACTCTGTTTCAAAAAATAATACAGAGTGCAATAGAAGAAGATACTGAATGTTGACCTCTGTCTGGTCTGTGAGCACATGCACATACACTCACATTGTCTAGTCTGCACACACACACACACACACACACACACACACACACCTGTTTAAACAGATCCCATGAAAGACTCACCCTTCCTCTGGGAGAACCAGCAGATAAAAGTGTGGGACCGCTAATACTGGAAAATGAGAGCCAGGTCTCCCAGTTCTTTCTGAATGAAGACATTTAGACCTAGAAGTTTCTCTCACATCAGACTAGTTTCCCAACTCATTCCTCAAGATAATAACTAGCTCCAGAGACTGGTGTCCTTTCCCAGTTCCTCTACATGCACATCAGAGGTGCGTGTGACATAGGGAAAGCCCAGCCAGGCCCTGCTCCTGTTCCTCTGGCAGGGACAGTTGGGAATGTTGATGGCATTCCTTTGGGAATGTTGACGGCAACATGATTCTGATCGAACCTGTTAGTTACCCTTGGTCTAGAAGCTTCCACGTTCTTCTGAAAACTCTTATCAGAGGGAAAGGTCAAAGGGCGGTGTGGTGAAACCAAGATGAACCCCTTTGAATACCACAGAGCCATGGTCCAGAGCAGTGAGCCAGGAACTGAGCCAGCGGAACATGCAGGAAGAGGAGGCCAGAGAGGGGCCTTCTGCTGCCGGCTCAGTCATAACACAGGGCCCCAGGCCTTCCTCTCTTGCTTCCACGAAAAACTCAGTTGTAATGAAATTCCAGGAAATGCTCAATACCCCTGGTACTATACAAGGATTTTTTGCTTAAAACCTGTGAAACACAATGGCACTTGGATACAAGGAAGAAGACCTTGAAAAGTAATTGATTCACTTGTCCCCAGATTTGCACTAAGTGTCCTGGCCCCAACTACAAAGACATAATACCTGTTCTTTTCTTTGATAGCACATAATTCCGTCATCAAGAGTCACCAACTCCAGTAGGCTAGACCTCACGTTATAATTAAGGGTACTCACTTTCAAACCTCTAAGAGCCTTACAATGAAGGAATGCTGTCTATAATAACAATCACAGCTTTGTATCCACAGAAATGGCCCCTTGACTCAACAAGGACAACTGTGCCCTTTTGACTCTGACCCAGCAAGCACAACTCAAGGCAAAGGAGGGTGCCCGTGCCCCCACGCACCTGCTCTGCCAGCTTCCCACCTTCTTTCCGAGTGGCTCCAGGGACCTGCTGGGGAGTGCCTTCTCCCCTCTTAGAGACTGACAAAGTCCAGATGCCACATCTACCAAGACTCACCTGGCCTTCAAATCTTACAGCCAATTAGTTACCTCTGCAACTGCCCAGCCTCCACAGAGCTGATTCATTGGGGCAAAGTACAGTGTCGCTACTGCAGGCTGGGACAGTCCTGACTTGGCACATTTGTTCAGAATCTAGTAGGGGCTGGTGCTTCTGTGTGCCTGGTCATGAACTGAGCCATTTGCACGTCTATGAGAATATACCCACCACACCAACACACACACACACACACACACACACACACACCAAATAAGGAAGAGGGACACTAGGGAAAGGAAACCCAGAATGGCCTGAGGCAACATGGTCTGTGGGGCAGAGCACCAGCTTTGGGGTGTGGACTCGTGGCTCTGCCAGTGGCTGGCTCTGTCACTCAACCTCTCTGGAGCTCAGTTTCTTTTTCTAACACCCAGATGACAAGCTCACCAAGAGGAGCAGGTGTAGTAAAATATATTGGCTACAAGCAAGTACACAGGAAGAGCGAGCACAGCCTTCCCAGAGGGTAGGAGCTGACTGCTCCCACTGGCACAGGTTGGGGGGTAATGCCCGGATCCCCTGATCTGGGTTTCCCTCGCCCACACTTCTCCCCCAGTTAACTTTTTGTTGTGCAGTCAACTCTGTTTCCTGCTGAAGGGAAGATTTAAGTTTCAGTACTGAACTGGAGACACTGAAAAGCTTTCTGTCACAAGAAAGGAATTTCTCACATTTGAAAAAATATATTTCCTCATGCTACTAAAGTAAGCACAGAGTACATCATACCTTCTTTGGAATGCACACTTTAAATTGTAAATCTTGCTATGGCTAGGCCCAATTTTTATTCTTTCAACACACTTGTTTGTCTTGTCACGTTACATATTAAACCAAGCACTCACACATGCTAAGAGAGAGCCCTACCACAGAGCTATATCCTCAGCCCTGTTTTTGAGAAGGCAACTATGTTGTCCAGGCTGGCCTTGAACTCACTCTGTAAACAAGGTATACCCTGAAGATGCTATTCCCCACCTCACCTTCCTGAGGAGCTAGGATTAGAGGCCTTCCCAACCAGACCCAAATCACAACACTCTTAACCAAAGTTCCTGCTGTTTGCCAGCATTTGCCACCTATAAATGTAAAAAGATACTGTCCTTGTTTTCAAGACACTTAGAACAAATTAGCTTTTCATGTAGTTCCTGGCCTGGTGGTAAGGCAGGTGATGTATTTAAGCCCTAAGACTTTCTTTCCACCACTAACCTGAATCTTAGCACCTAACAAGAGAGCATAAAACCCCCAGAGTGCAGACAGTAGTTTCTGACCATGCTAGGCCAGGAGATCGGCTCACCAGTGGCTGCATGGATGGTTTTGGTCCCTCTGGGAAGAGGCACTGGAGAAGGACATACACAATGACAAAAGGAATCAGAACACTGTTAATTATCAAACAGGCTCTATTATCAAGTTATGTTTTTATGCATCGTAGTAACAGTCATAAAACTCTGACACAATTCCTTTTGCTTGTGAGATGGCATTGGACTCACCCTATGACATTCCTGGGGTGCTGACACTAAAAAGAATCTTAGAGACCATTTGAGCAACTCCGCTTTTCAAAAGATGATAACTAAAAACTACAGAGTAGTGATTTACCCAAGATTTTACAAAGCTAAGTGGAAGGCTGGTGAGAAGTGTGTAGGTATGCTATAGCTAACTGCCTTACACAGGGCTTCCCAGAGCTGATGATGAAATATTCAAGAGTTATGTGAACTGATCTTTAAATCCAAGGTAATTCAAAATTCACTCTGCTATGATTGTTCACACCACAGAACCTGCTGAATGCTACTCTAAAGGATGGTTTGTTTGTTTTTCAGTGAACCAGTTTACTGGCACACTGAGTTCAAACCTGGACTCTTAGTTCTTAGTTCCCCGTTCTTTCAATTATAAAGTTGTCTCTCTGTTTCTAGCCTTAGTCTCACATTTCTAGTCTAGCTCAGTTACTCTAAACGCTCCTTTTGTGGCATCCCAGAGCCTCTCTAATTATCTCAAGAGTTATTATGAAACTCTTCAAATACTCACCAACCAAAATTAATTTTAATTAGCTTTAATTATTTTGTATAGACATATGGCATACAACAGTTAAATGGGTCACAGAAGGAAATAGATTGTGGTGGGATCTCGCCACTCCAAAGCATTTGGGATTTCTCCAGCCCCAAATAGCAACAGTTACCAAGTCTTTCTACCTGGCAGCTAAATTCTTCCTGGTTTCCAGACAAAATTTATCCAGCTCGACAATGCTTTAATAGCTCAGTCTCTAGTAGGAGGTGATTTGAATTAGCCATGACACTCTAGACTCTGGTTGCGATGCCCCTGCATGAACCCGTAGAATGCCTCATGCCCAAACAGCTACTGTCTTCACATTACTCTTGCCCTGGTGTCCTGCCCTCACACCTGATTCTTGTTCTGCATACCGGGTATTCACCAAGAGGAGTCTTAGGAGCTTGCTACTCTGCATGAATTTCACAGAGTCCCTGGCTTCCTTTCCTTCCTTCCTTGCCAGGCTACTGTCTAGGGTCTTGGTTCAAAGCGGAGTAGCTGCACAGTGTATAGGCTGAATGTGGTTTTTCTCCAAATATTTGCAAGTTGAAATCCTAAATCCTAGTGTGATAGAGTTAGGAGGTGAGGCCTTTGAAAGGTAAACAATTGTGTCAGTGGAGCCCTTGTGAATGGAGTTAATGCCTTTATGCAAAGGCCCAAGGGAACTTACATCCTCTCTGCTCTATCGTGGAGAATAGATCCAGAGAACCGGGATCGGCAAACCCAAACCAGGCCCTCATCAGACAGCCCATCTACCCACAAATCGACCTTGAACTATCTAGGCTCTAAAAGTGTGAGGAAGTCCTGTCATTTAAGCCATCAAGTCTGTGGAAGTGTGTTAGAGCAGCTTGAGATGACTAAGAACTATCCTGGGTATGAATCGTATCTGACGAAAAGGCTGTCACTGCTAACAGACCACCGAATCTCCGGCCGTCAGATGGAGCTGGCAGATGTGAACACCCACCTAGCTCCAGGTCAGGTTTGTCATGAGTCTCCAAGTCCTGTGACCTCAGGACTAATTAGAGTTACAAAGAACAGTTCAGCAGATGAGACCGTTCCCCAGCCTTGGCCTTATTTTGTCACCAAAATGAAAACTTTAGAGAGTAAACTGAGAAGTGCTGTGTCAACAAGTTAGCAGCGTTTATCTACTTCCAGGTAATAGACTGTTACATGATTTTATTTTCCTCTTCTTGCTTGTTCACAGAATCTAACTTTTCTAAGACAGATAGATAAATAGGTACATGTATAGAGAGGTGATAAATAGATATCATTTCAAATGACAAAATAACTAACATTGCTTTTAATCAATATTATATCCAAATGTGTTGTCACAGTAGTAACTAATTGGCTACCCAAGTTACTAAGTAGGACAATCATACCCCCCCAAAGCTTCCAAGATTGATTAGCTGTGGTAAGTCTGCTATTGTGGGGATAATTTGAATCATTTATTTATAAGGCAAGTATTTGTGGACTGATTACTGTATACCCAACCCTATCGTGTGCATTTGAAGCACATAGAAAAACAGCATATGGTCTTTGTTCTGAAGATGCTTTGAACTCAGAGAAGTATTAGACAGTGTATGCAAGGATTAGTCCAATCTTGATTTTTTTGGGGGGAAGACACACAGAGGTGAGCATGGGTCAAAATGGGGTTGGGATGTACATCACTCAAGGCTATTTGAGAAGAAGGAGCAGGTGAACTATGCATGATTATACAAGAAGAAAGAACATAAGTGCATGGAAGGAAAGTACCACATGTTTTACAGAGGCAGCATGAGTTGATACTCTGTGAACTAGAAAAGATTGGGGGAGAAGTCAAGGACATCCTCCAGAGCTGAGAGCATGCTGCATTTGTTTAATAAACAGTAATGTTGGGAGAGTTAGGAAAGATGGTGGAGTCAGTTTGAGACATGCTAGGTGTGAGGGACCCTGGGAACACAGGTAGGTATAGTCAATAAGGCATAGCTGAGATGGCCTGGAGACCAAGAAAGGAGTATGAAAAGAGTGGTGGATAGCATGACCAAGAAACACTGATGAAAACAA